CTTGTGCATGATCTTTGTGTGAATCTGCTGATATTCTGCTATCTTCATCTTGTTCTTCTGTGTGTCTAAACTTCTCTTGCTAGGACCTGTTTTTCATCTCAGTTTTAATTTATCTCAGCTGCCCGGAAGTTCCTGGCTCAAGAACTCTAGTAGTTCTTGGCTACTCATCCTGCCCGGAAGTTCCGGTGTTCATCACCAGGAGGTTCCGGGCCCTGTTAATTTAACCGCTGCAATTGTAGAGAAAATTTCAGGAAAGCCTATTCACCCCCCCCCCTCTAGGCGACATCTCTGCACATTCAAAATACAGTACACAAAAAAACACGTATAAACGTGATTATGACGTAGAAAATGTTGTGGAAGTAATTTCACTTAAATTGTAATGGCATTTTTCCAAATAGTTAAATAGTGGTATTTTTCCAAGCCTACAATTTTCAGTGACATGTATCAAGCTATTCTCTTTCTAGTGACATGTATCAAACTATTATCTTCTTTCCTTTTTTTTTTTTTGCCAGGAGAGGAGATTATTATTTCTTTATTGGGGGAATGGGCTTAGGCCGGATTTTAATTCAAAATAGAGGCCATTTAAGCATGTTTTTACACCGAATAAAAAAATGTTACGGTCCGGAATTTTACACTATTTTTTCCCCCAAAACAAGGCTTGCAAGAAGGCCCAAAGTATTTTCCTCAGTGAGGCCATTAAGCCTGCTAATGGTGCAAAATCCACCCCATATCCAATCCAATCCACAGCAGCTAGCAATACACCTCCAAATCATCCCAATCCACTAGCCATCCTATAAAATCCAAACCAACCAAATCCATTTCCCTCGTGAGTCTAAACCGAACCAACCCATTCCTCTTTTATGGGCACAATCCATTCTCCGAACCATTCAAACCCACTTCAAATCCACTTTGGTCCTTGCGGTGGGTGTCGGCGACGCCGACGCCGCCAACGTCTGGGACACTGAGGGTCGCACTGCAAAGCATGAGACGCATCGTGTGAATCCTCTTGGAGCAAGGAAGGACGGCGGGGAGAGAGGCGCTCATGGTCCTCGACAGCGCTGGTGTGATGTCCAGGGGAAGGGGGAGGTTGTTGCGCCACCGGTCATCGTGCTGTAGGCGTATTAGGTGTCGCAGGGGCGGATGAGTTTGTTGCCGCCATCAGAGCGGTAGACGAAGTTGATCTCCAGGTCCTTCTCGTCAGGTCCGGCGAGGCAGCAACCGTCTCATCGAGCCGGCCTAACGTGACCATGGCTACAATTGATAAAACCATTGCTCACATCATGGATCAACAAGAAGTCATCAAGGCCAAGTCCTCCAAGTGTTGGAATCCAATTCGGCCACTTGATGCACTGACGACTTCAAACTACCGCCAAATCTACATACGACCTCCGTTTTCAGTCCGTGAGTACTTGATGGAAAGCTCTCGGAGTCTTCTTTCCAACGGATCTAGCCTCATCACCAAACTCCATCTCAGTTGGCCTCAATCAAAGAAACAAAGTGTTGCGTCCCCAATAGTGGGCCTATGGGCATGTAACTTCGTCTGGGACCCTGGCCCAAGTGGGGCCCATCTGGGGTGCGCCCCAATCTATTGGAGCACGACCCTAGGGTAGCCTTGGTCGTCTTCCCTTCTCTATAAATAGTTAGGTACCACTCCAGGGTTTCTAGGGTTTTGTTAGATTAAAGTTTCGCGCGTGCCGGTTAGACCGCCTGTCTGCTTGTTCTTCGGAACCCCAACTTATTGTGTGTATTCATTCCTATTTGCAGTTCAGATTGCTGCTTTTATCTTGTTCTTACTTGTTTCATCGATTTGCTCGCAGGAATAGGGTTGATCTACACCAGCAAGATCAACAACCCATGAAGAGGTGTATCGATCGCTAAGGCGCAACGCAACGTCATGTACGGTTGTAGTCGGGTCGTCAACGTTTCTCTCAAATCGTAGTTATCTCAACTCGCCGAAAGATCGGGCCAATCCTAGCCTTGAGTTTCGAGTGGAACTCAGGGTTCATCACATCCAGCGGCAGAGCGCGGAGCGGAGGTGCGCACCATGTCTCTCGCCGCCGGCAAGAAGCTAAGGATTATTAGCAGCAAGTCTTCGGTGAGGTTACTGATCGTATCGTCGACTACTGCCACCGCCGTTGAAGTCGTCTCCGGCATGTTTTTGGAGTCTGTGGAAGTGTACACGTATGCGCACGCCGACGCCCTCTTTCTCTTCCTCTTCCTCATCCTAAAAAATTTTCCGCCGGTGGAGATGCAACAACACATGTTCCTGCTCTACCAGGAGGTGTTCCTCTTCGGCTGCCTCGGTCTCAGCTCCGGCGGATGCGATGGTGCGGTGGTGATGTGACCATGACTACTATTGATACAACCGTCACTCACATCAATATCAAGTTGACCAAGTGCTGGAATCTGATTCGGCCATGTGCGACATTGCTAAATTCAAATGGCCGCCAAATCTGTATACGAGCTTCGTTTTTTACCTGTGAGTACTTGATGGAAAGCTCTCGGAGTCCTCTTTATAACGGATCCTGCCTCATCTCCGAATTCCATCTCGTTTGGATGCAATCACAGAAACAAAGTATTGTGTCACCTGTAATGGGCTTATGGGCTTGTAACTTCGTCTGGGACCCCAGCCCATGTGGGGTGTGCCCCAATCATGTGGAGCACGACCCTAGGGACCCCTAAATCATCCTCCCGTCTCCATAAATAGCTTGGTACCCCTTCAGGGTTTCTTGGGTTTTGTTAGATTAAAGTTTAGCCTTTGCTACTTGCTTGTAGCGCGCGTGTCGGCTAGACCGCCTGTCTGCTTGTTCTTCGGAACCCCAACTTATTAGTTGTATTCAATTCCTATTTGCAATATCAGATTGCTTTTATCTTGTTCTTACTTGTTTCTTCGATTTGCTTGTAGGAATAGGGTTAATTTGCACTGGCAAGACAAACAACCCACGGAGAGGTGTATCGATCGCTAAGGCGCAACGCAACGTCTTGTACGGTTGTAGTCGGGTCGTCAACGTTTCTCCCAAATCATAGTTATCTCCACTCACCAAAAGATCGGGCCAACAACAGCCTTGAGTGTCCCGAGTGGAACTCAGTGTTCATCAGGTGGCGCCATGCATGGCCTCTCCGCCACTGTCACCGCCGCTGCCAAGTTCAGGTCATGCGCGGGCAGTGCGGCCTCTGACGAGATGAAGAGAACGGGAGAAAAGTGGGAAAAGCAATCGGATTCGGTCCACTAAAGGAATCCATTCAGCCTACATGGATTGAATCCATTTTCAACCCGAAATCACCAAACCAAATCCAGTCCACACCAATCCACTTCTTTGTGTCATCCAAACCAATCCAGTCCATTTGAAGCAGCAACCCATTTTCGTCCAACCAAAGGCAATCCAAATTAGAAAGGAAAAAGTACATCGAAGGTCCCTCAACTTGTCATCGAGTTACAAAATCGTCCCTCAACCACAAAATCAGATATATGACATACCTCAAATTATAAAACCGTTCACTTTAAGTCCTTCGGTGGTTTGACCCTGGTTTTGTCCAACATGGTGGCTGAGTCAGCATAGGACCCAAGCGGGCCCCACATGTCAGGATGCCACGTATCACACTCTCCCTTTCCCCTCCTCTCCCTTCCTCCTCCTCCCTCTCTCTCTCTCTGTCACTTTCTATCTCACTTTTCTCCTCTTGCACAGGCTGGTCGCCGGGTAGGGAGGACTGAGGAGGTCGAAACAAGATTTCGACAATAATAAAGGGGGTGGCTGTCAAGCTAGGAAAGTGGATGGGTTTGGAGACAAGGAATTTTATACAGGTTCAGGCCTTCTTATTAAAGAAGTAATACCCTACTCCTGTCCGGGGATGATTCCGCCAAGTGTGTTATTGATTGTATGATTGAAGAAAAAAGAATCGTGCCCCAAGAGGCACACGGACCCTCCTTATATAGGGGAAGGGATCCGTAATACAAGGTACAGTCTATATCCTAACGGAATATGGGATTACAGATAAAATACAATCGTAACCGACTAGGATCCTGGGTATTTTCTTGACATACAAGTTTAGAATCTAACCCGAATCCTCATAAAGATATTCTATCTATATTTGGTACCATATATCTGACTAAAGTATAACTGTCATGCAGATATGGGGTATCCATAATCTCCACAGTAGCCCCCGAGACCTTCGCAGTTGACGAAACAACCTTCTCGAAACAAAAACCAGTAGTCCGAGTGCTTTAATTCAACTTGCTCCAGCTTGTCGAGTACTAAAAATCAAAAACTGTGAAGGACGAAAATAAAACATGGTGCATCGAGTAGATGCACCTAATTAGGTGTAGCCCCTGACTATGTGATTAGTTGAAAAACTAAACATATAGTCAAGAACCGAGTGGTTTTATAGCGAAGCACGCATGGTACTTAGTAAGATACCCAGCCGACTGCTTCTCAACTTGAATATATCAAGGACAAAAAATACAAGAAGGGCCGAGTGACAAACACTCAAAAGGCCCAAAAATAGATATATTTGGTAGGAATCCGAGCAAGAAACTCTTAAAATGATCCACCAAACATAACAGAAAATCATGGTAATTAATGAGTCTAACAGCCTAGGCTGTGACCCTTACCATAACCAAAATAAGCATATAACATGCTAGGAGAATGACTACTGATAAACCAGTCATCTTAAATTAACCCAACAGCTCTTGTAGCCTAAAAAAGCTTACAAAAATGGTATAACACCTTTCTGTTGGGCACCTTTTCATGTGCATCATAATAATTCCAAAGAATTATTGAATCGCGTTAAAAAGGATTTTAACAGCATCGGGCCACATCATTGTGAGCACATATTGCCAAAGCAAAAAGCGCCTAAGTCCCTAGGGATCACAATGGGCCGCGCTGAAAACATAATTGGGCTGAAGTACTGTACAGACCCAGGCCCATTAGTACTCCCGATACCCTAATAATACCGAAGTGAAAAACGTCTCTTCGTCTTCCCCGCCGAGACTCTCGCCATTTTCCCCATTTCCTGCTACAATGCAAAACTGCGCCGGACAAACTAGGGTTCATCAATCCGCTCCAATCCACCCTCAAAAACTTCACAAGATTTCTCCCCGCATCCACCGCTCCGATTCCCCATCCCTTTCCAGCCATATCTCGAACTAAATCAATCCATCCAGTTCACATTCATGGCGGAAGAAAGAGAAAGCTTCGAGAGTCAGTGGGCGCCCTCCGATGTGACGGAAGACAATCTGAAGGAGATGGTGGCACACGGCGTTCTTCCAGCAAAATAGATCATCGGGTGGCGACCGGCATTTGGTGAGGCTTTCCCGACCCCCGATACACATGAAATCGTGGTATTTGCTCATTTCTTCTATGGCGGATTTTCTCTTCCAACTTCGAGATTTTTCCGGGGCATTCTGAACTTCTACGGGATTAGCTTGCATCACTTGAATCCAAACTCCATAGTACATATTGCCAATTTTATCCACGCTTGCGAAGCTTTTCTGGGCATTAGGCCTCATTTCGCCTTGTTCCGCCGCATATTCTTCCTCAAGCCCCAGCCAAACAAAAACAAGTCGTGCGTTGTTGGGGGAGCTGGTTTCCAACTCAGAGGAACCTTGAGCCAAAAATATTTCTCCATGCCCTTCAAAACCTCGAACAAAGGCTGGCATGCGAACTGGTTCTATGTTCAGAATCCTGAGCCCGCACTTCCCGAGTACTGTTGTCTTCCTCCGGTTTACCAGGACACATGGAACTCATTGCCTATGGGAGATGAAGCTGCTCAGGCAGTAGAACTGATGGAGAGGATGATAAAGCTGAAAGAACAGGGTCTTCAAGGAGAGCAGATCACCCGGCACTTTATCAAGTGTCGGTTAGCTCCAATCAAAGAAAGATCACGCACAGCTTTTGAGTTTGATGGCAAGCATGATCCAAATCGGGAAGATCCAGATTCTCTTGACTTTAAGGTCATGAAAGAAAGAATGTACAAAATCTTTTCAAACGCTATTGTTGTCAGCTATTCACATCTGCTGCCCGTTGTGCCATTCAACGCATTCAACCCTCCTCCACCGGTATGCACTCAAACATTTCACCCTTCCTCAAAATATGATCTTGCTTTCCTGTTGAATCAATTAACAATGAAAGATATTACACCCAGGAATTTGCTTTGATGAAGTCGGATCCCCCAATCGCTCAACGTCGATCTCCCCGCCACCAAACTGGGCAAGGGAGCGGAGGACCAAGAATTCGGTCTGAACCTCAACCAAGTGCTTCTGATCCAGTCGGCCAGTCAGACTCTCGAAAGAGGAAGCTGGTTTTAAGTAACGACGAAGCCGATGATACTACCAGGCGGCCTAGAGACCGAGAGACAACCAAGAAACTACCAAAACAGGCTACTCTAAGGAAGAAAACCACCAGTCGCCCTGCGCCAAAGATCAGGAAATCTTCTAGGTACAACTCATATAACGATCTCTCTTGCATTAATGTGCATCCATTGCGGCAATAACACTGATAATCAAATTTGCAGGAAACCATCTGATATAGATCTGTCTGGGAAAGATTCTGACCCGACTAGCGTGGACGCAAGTTCTTCCAAAGAAACCGGGCCAACTGCCGAGGACCGTCCGAGTGACAATCAGACGGCAACCGATAACGTAGGATCCGGTGATCAACCCCCGACTGGAAACCAGTCGGCCGAAGCCGAAGCCGGAGTTAATTAGGAGCCCCCGACTGGAAACCAGTCGGATGCAGGGCCAAGCCAAGAGATTCCAGAAGTCGGAGCTCAAGCAAACAGCCTTCGCGGTCAAGACGCCAGCAATAACCAGAGATCTGGATCTCCTTTAAAGGCATCCAAATCCACTCGTCCTCGTCCAGAAATCATTACGGGTAAAACACTTTGTCTGAAACCATGTCGACCCAAATAACTCTGACCAATTGTCTAACCTCTGTCAGTGGATACATTAGGGCCAATGATCAGTGATGAAGAAGAAGTTCCCCGCATACAAGCAGCTGAGGGTTCACGCCCTCCGATTCTGGTCAAGTGGTGGGATGACAACATGCAGCCTCATGGGATCGTGATAAATAAGCAAAAAGAGGACGAAGAGTTATGCCTACTGAAGAAGGCACTTGGTCAGGCAACCCGTATGGAAAATGTAAGCCCTCTGGTACCTGATCTTGACCATCTTGTTTGCCATTTAATCCATGCGCTAATTAAACTGTCTTGCAGAGGATTCATCTTAGGAACGAAGCTAAAACGGCAACCTTAGAGAGGCTAGTCCCTCATCTCGGGACCCTCGAAGCCACCAGGAGTCTGCTGCACGAAACAAAAGAGCTTGCCAGGAAAAATGAGCATGATCTGAGGAATCGAATTGCCGAGCTCCAGGAATCCAATTTTGAACTGAGTGGCTTATCAAAAGGTTCGCACAAACTCTGCCCAACTGATTCATACTGTTATCTTTGTGATCTTGATTTACAGTAATCAATGTAGTGCAAGCTGCCAAGATATCTCAGTTCGAGAAGCAAATTCAAACTCTGGAAAACGACAAGGCAGAACTGGCAAGACAAAAAGACCTGGCTTTAAAGGAAGTTGAAGGTATCAACAATCAATACCTCAAAAGCCATTATCTTCCATATGCTGACTTATTAATTTGAGTCTGTCGATGCAGACCGCAAGATCAAATCTCAAGCTCAATTCGACGTCCTAGTTGGCAAGATCAAAAAACTTGAAGGAGCCCGGGATGAGGTTGCTAACGCTGCTGCCCCAATAGTTCAAGCGATGTTCCTCAATAACAACGGCCCTAGTGCACTTGATGCTTCTGAAATTTTCGACAAGCTGAGAGTTGCTCCGGATATATATTTCAAGAACATCAAAGAAGCTGGAAGTATGGGAGCAAGCATGGCATTGGCGATGACTAAATCCCTTTATCCGAGAGTTGATATTGACGCCATTGATGGCTTTGCAGACGGGACGAGCGAAGAAGCTGCTCTTGACCTCATCAGTAATGCGCAGAAAGCGGCTGACAAAATTGCTGCTGATGTAGTTGAGAGATTTCAGGACACCGATCTTCGACCGACTGGTCTTGATATTTCTGATGATGAAAAGACTGATACTGATTAATGTACTGATAATCTTGATGATTAATAATGATGGAGGCACAATTTGTACAATACTGATGAATTTATGCTGTGCTTGATATCTTAACTTAGCTCCTGATTTCTTAAAAGTTTTTGTCAAACCTTGTTGAGCCTAAAACCCGCAAAAGTTGTTAAAAAACTTTCAGTCCTCATTGACTAAGCCGAGAAATCGAACAGGGCAATGATACATCAAGTAAGCAAATTGAATTCATAAAAATCACACTCCATTATTATTATAGTAGCCCCCTGACTGAAAACTTCGAGGAAAAACTTGAAGTTAGCAGTCAAAGAGGAAAGATACAAACGAAATGCCTAAGTGTAAAATCGACGAAGGTGTTCAATATTCCAAGAATTGTTGATGATAGTACCATCTTCGCGCTTGAGTCGATAAGAACCTGGCCGAGTGACTTCAGCAATTATGAACGGTCCTTCCCATAAGGGAGATAATTTATGCCGATCCTGTGTTGTTTGAATTTTCCTTAGAACCAGGTCACCGACTAAAAAGGCTCGCGATCAAACATTTCGATTATGATAACGACGCAACCCTTGCAGGTATCGAGTCGATTGAATTAAAGCTGCTTCTCGGGCTTCTTCTAGTCGGTTGATGTCGTCTACTCGGCCCTCTTCATAGCCCTCCTCGTTGAAGTTCCGAAATCGTAGTGATTCAAATTCCACTTCACTCGGCAACATTGCTTCTGCGCCATAAACCAAAAAGAATGGCGACTGGCCGGTAGCCCGACTAGGAGTAGTGCGTAAAGACCAAAGTACGGACGGCAGCTGATCTACCCACTTGCCAGCATAGGGGCGTAGTCGGTCGAAAACTCGTGCTTTGATCCCTTGCAGTATCATGCTGTTAGCGCGCTCAACTTGTCCGTTACTCATGGGGTGTGCCATGGAGGCATAACAAATTTTAATGCCGAAGTCTTCACAAAAGTCTTTAAATGTTCCGCCAGTGAATTGAGTGCCATTATCAGTGATGATCCGATTAGGTACCCCAAACTGATGCACAATGTTGATGAAAAAATCTCTAGCTTTATCTGCTGTGATCGTGATAACCGGTTTAGCCTCAATCCATTTGGAGAATTTGTCGATAGCCACGAAGAGATGTGTGTAACCGCCGACTGCCCTTTTAAATGGGCCGACCATGTCAAGCCCCCAGATCGCAAACGGCCAGGACAACGGGATGGTTTGCAACTCTTGGGCTGGTAAATGAGTTTGTCTGGCAAAAAATTGACAACCTTCGCATGTCCGCACAATCTTATCTACATCGGACACAGCTGTAGGCCAAAAAAAACCTTGCCGGTAAGCTTTGCCGACAATGGTCCGTGCAGCAGCATGATTACCACAAATACCAGAGTGTATATCCTTCAACAATTGTTTCCCTTCCTCCAAAGATACATAGCACTGCAGTATTCCTGATGGACTTTTCTTGTACAGCTCAGTCTCATGAATAATGTAAAGTCTGCTGCGCCTGGAAATCCGCTCGACTTCATTTTTGTCTTGAGGGAGTTCTTGTTTGCTCAAAAACTTTATAAACGGTTCTCTCCAATCGGCTTCAAGCATGCCTACGCCTTGAGTATCCATGGCTTCAGTTATCTCCTTTCTGGGTACGGTCGGTTCGTAAAGATGTTCGACGAACACATCTGAAGGAGCTGCTTCCAGTTTTGAACCAAAATTGGCCAGTCTGTCGGCTGCCTCATTATTATGTCGGAGGACATGGGTGAGCTCGAGTCCGTCGAATTTATCTTCCAGCTTACGTACCTCTTGTCGGTAAGCGGTCATATTAACATCTAGACATGACCACTCTTTCGTGACTTGATTAACACCCAACTGAGAGTCTCCACGGACGATTAGTCGGCGAATACCTAGAGATATTGCAATCCTTAGTCCATGGAGTAGGGCTTCGTATTCCGCTACGTTATGGGACGCAGAAAAATGTATCCACAATACGTAGCTTAATCTTTCTCCAGTCGGGGAAATCAAGACGACCCCAGCTCCAGTGCCTGTAAGCCTCTTCGACCCATCAAAATGCATAGTCCAATATTCCATCTTTTCCTCTGGCATGTCTTCTTGGCACTCGGTCCACTCGGCAAGGAAATCAGCTAGAGCTTGTGACTTGATCGAAGTTCGTGGTTTGAAAGATATATCCAAAGACATCAATTCTAAGGCCCACTTCGCAATCCGCCCGTTTGCTTCGCGATTATGAAGTATATCCCCGAGTGGAAACGATGTGACCACCGTGACCGAGTGACTTTGAAAATAGTGAGATAATTTCCTGACGGTAATTAAGACACCATATAATAACTTTTGAACCTGAGGATACCTTGTCTTGGAGTCGGCTAAAACCTCGCTGACAAAATAGATTGGTCATTGGACTTTTTGAATATGGCCTTCCTCTTCACGCTCGACAACCAGGACCGTACTCACAACTTGGGAGGTCGCCGACACATATAACAGTAGCGGTTCTTGTGGATGCGGTGAAGCCAATACTGGTGGAGTGGTGAGGAGTTTCTTGAAGTCTTCAAAGGCTTTTTGTGTTTCGGGTCCCCACTGGAAATCGTCAGTTTTCTTCAGCAGCTTGAAGAAGGGCATCCCCCGCTCGCCGAGTCGTGAGACGAACCGGCTGAGCGCCGCCATGCAACCAGTCAACTTTTGGACGTCTTTTTGGGAGCTCGGCGGTTTCATGTTGAGGATGGCGTTGATTTTCTCCGGGTTGGCCTGTATGCCTCTCTGAGATACCATAAATCCGAGCAACTTCCCTGATGGTACTCCGAAGATGCACTTTTCCGGGTTTAGTTTCATCTTGAAAGCACGAATACTTGTGAAAGTTTCTTCTAAATCCGCAATCAGGTCATCCCTCTACTTGGTCTTGACGACTACATTATCAACATAGGCTTCAACATTGCGACCGATCTAAGTTGAAAAACACCTTTGAATCATGCGTTGATAGGTTGCTCCTGCGTTCTTCAATCCAAAGGGCATGGTGATGTAGCAGTAGGCCCCAAAGGGTGTAATAAACGAGGTCTTCAAGTAGTCGGATTCTTTTAGTCGGATCTGATGATATCCCGAGTAACAATCCAAGAAGCTGAGTAGCTCGCAGCCGGCCGTTGAGTCAACCACCTGGTCAATGCGATGTAACCCAAAAGGGTCTTTGGGACAAGATTTTTTGAGGTCGGTATAATCGACACACATTCGCCATTGCCCCGTCTTTTTCCGAACCAGGACTGGGTTAGCCAGCCAGTCGGGATGAAGGACTTCCTTTATGAAACCTGCTGCTAACAGCTTGGTTAATTCCTCCTTGATCGCATCCTTCCTGTCTTGTGCAAAACGGCGGAGTCGTTGCTTGATGGGTTTGGCGTCTTCCTTAACATGTAAAGAGTGCTCAATCACCTCTCTGGGGATACCAGGCATATCGGATGGTTTCCACGCAAAAATATCTTTATTATTCTGAAGAAAGGTGATGAGCGCGCTTTCCTATTTACAATCTAACTCAGCGCCTATTACAGCAGTCTTATCAGGATCGGAGGGATCTAGGGGAATCTTTTTCGCCTTGGCATCACTTTCTTCGGTCTTTGTCAGCTTGGTTGCAGGCACTTCTCCCTCGCCTGCCGTGGTTGCAGACAGTCGGATCTCTTCGCGAGCAAGAGTAGTCTCGTGGGTTTGGGCCATCTCGTAGCTTTCTTTGTCGCATGTGACGGCCTGCTTGATGTCGCTCCGTAGTGATATGACCCCTCGAGGACCAGGCATCTTCATCATCATGTAGGTGTAGTGTGGGACGGCCATAAATTTGGCTAAAGCCGGTCGTCCAAGTATAGCATGATATGCTGTCTCGAAATCGGCAACTTCGAAACAAACATTTTCTGTGCGAAAATTTTCCCGAGTGCCGAAGGTAACTGGAAGAGTGATCTGGCCGAGTGGTGTAGCTGACAATCCTGGGATAACACCGTGGAAGGGTGCATTACTCGGCTTTAATTCCGTGCGAGGAATCTGCATATCGTCCAGGGTCTTAGCGAAAAGGATGTTGAGTGCGCTGCCACCATCGATGAGAGTCCGTCGGAGCTTGACATTGCGAACCACTGGGTCTAGTACCAGGGGGTACCGCCCCGGGTGGACCACTCGGTCGGGATGATCCGAGCGGTCGAACTTAATTGCTGTTTCTGACCACCGAAGATACTGGGGCGTGTTAGGCTGAACCGCATTGATCTCCCGTTCTGTTAGCTTCTGTTTTCTCTTGGACTCATAAGCCAGGGGTCCGCCGAAGATGTGATTAAGTTCTTTGCGATGATCTTGAAAACCAGTCGGGGCATCATCTTCATCATCTTTCTTCTTTGATGTGCCCTGATCTCCGTCTGCAGGTTTGCGTGCGTTCTTGACGTATTGCTCCGCGAACTGTTTGTAGACGAAGCAATCTTTGGCCACGTGGTTGGAATTGGGATGATGCGGACATTGAGAGTTCATTATCTTGTCGAAGGTGTTGACGCGGGGACGTTGTCGGGAAGATGGAGAGGTGGTCGCCACAAGTTCTTCGGGCTTACGCTTGCGATCCTTGTGGTTGTTATTTCCACTCCCTCCTGCAGTCAGCGTGTCCTTCTTTGGCTTCCAAGTGGTGCCCGACTATTTGGACGCGGTGATAGCATCTTCGGCTTCGGCATACTCGTTGGCTTTTTCGAACATCTGCTTAACCGTCCTGGGAGGTTTACGTCCGAACTTACTGACTAGGTCCTCGTGGCGAATGCCTTTAGTGAAGGTGGCGATGATGACGTCGTCGGTGATGTCGGAGATCTTGTTGCGTTGCTCGGAGAAGCGTCGGATGTAATCTCGAAGGGATTCTCCAGACTTCTGAATGACGTTGTAGAGATCAAACTGTGTGCCGGGGCGTTCAAAGGTGCCCTGGAAGTTGGCGATGAAGTGATCACGAAGTTTCGCCCATGATCCGATCATGCCACGGGGTAGTCCGTGGAGCCAGGATCGGGCGGAGTCCGCTAGGGCCACAGGTAGATAGTTTGCCATGGCCTTGCTGTCTCCACCTGCTGCGCGGATTGCGAGTCCGTAGACGGTGAGCCAAGACTCCAGATTGGTGGTGCCGTCATACTTCTCGATTCCAGTCGGTTTGAAGCCGACTGGCCAATCCACTCGACGCAGGTCATTAGTGAAGGCAGCTACTCCATCCACGTCGTCGTCGTAGCGATTTGGTGAATGACGGTGACCTCGTGCTGCACGGCGCTGGTTGATCGTGTCACGAAGGTCGACGGGACGCTGGCGAGGTGGAGAACGAGGCCGTTCAGCTCGGCGCTCCCTGTGACGTTCGGGAAGCGAGTGAACAGATCGTTCGTCGTGACCCCTGCTCCTGCGACTAGATCCTGTGCCGGTGATGCTGAGGCTTGGCTGATGATGAGGGACTCGGCTACCAGTCGGGGTGCGGGTGCTTGCGGAGTTGGCTGGAACCGAGGTAGCGATCATGGTCTTCGTCTGGTTCAAGATGTTGACAACATGATCGGCTTGGTTGAGGGCGTCTTCCTTGAGGAGGGTGTCGAGGAGAGTGATTGCTGCAACCACGTTCTGCTGGGGGGTGCGAAAGACCGCTGTCCCGTCGACGTCTTGTTGCCCAATGAGCTCTCTCGCTCGGCGCCCAGATACCAAGGCGCGGTGCCGTCGATCTTCAGCTTCCTTTGCAATCCGTTCGCGATCTTGTTGTTCACGCTATAGTCGTTCTCGCTCCTGTCGCTGTCGCTCCTCCTCCAGTCGGCGACGTTCAGCTTCTTGCCGTGCGCGATCTTGTTCTGCTTCTCGGGCTCGGCGCTGTTCTTCCGTTTCGTTGTCAGCCATGAATACGCCGAAGAAGAGGGGCGTGTAGTTATCCTCGTAGCTGTCGTCGAAGTTGTCGAAGTCGCCATGGTCGTAGTGGTAGCCGAAGTCGTCATAGTCGAGGATCTCAGTTGGTCGGGAACTGACGCCGGGGGAGCTGAGGTAGCCATCCAACTCTTCCGTCGAGACTGTCCCAAGAGGTTGGAGTATAACGCCAACCTCCCTGGATGTAGACTGGATCGGGGCCGGTGCCGGAGCTCGCCTAGATCTCCGAGTGGGAGATGTTTTGGCTGTGAAGACGGCGGCCAAGTCATCAGGAAGTTTCATCAAGATTGAGGGATAGGACCCGTCGTCTTGATCTGATCGTGGGGGAATAGATTGGATCTCGTCCGAGTGGCTTGAAACCGACTTAGGAGAGATGATCTTGGAGTAGGCCTCGGCCGAGTTCGGAATACCGAACGGCACGGGGACCTGGTTTCTCCCCGACTGGTTTGAATCCGAGTCAAGGAGAGAGATCTTGCCGAAGTCGTTGGTGATGAAGTCGAGGCTGCTGAATCGGAACGCCTGCCCGGGAGGAAGGCGAAGTTGTTGATGCCAGAAACGAAACCCATCGTACTTAGTCGGCGAGACGCCTCCCCTACCTGGCGCGCCAACTGTCGAAACAAGATTTCGGCAATAATAAAGGGGGTGGCTGTCAAGCTAGGAAAGTGGATGGGTTTGGAGACAAGGAATTTTATACAGGTTCAGGCCTTCTTATTAAAGAAGTAATACCCTACTTCTGTCCAGGGATGATTCCGCCGAGTGTGTTATTGATTGTATGATTGAAGAAAAAAGAATCGTGCCCCAAGAGGCACACGGACCCTCCTTATATAGGGGAAGGGATCCGTAATACAAGGTACAGTCCATATCCTAACAGAATATGGGATTACAGATAAAATACAATCGTAACCGACTAGGATCCCGGGTATTTTCTTGACATACAAGTTTAGAATCTAACCCGAGTCCTCGTAAAGATATTCTATCTATATTTGGTACCATATATCCGACTAAAGTATAACTGTCATGCAGATATGGGGTATCCATAATCTCCACAGGAGGACTGAGGAGGTCGCCAGGGTGAGACGAGAGAGGAGGTCCGACGGAGCCAGCGAGTTGGTTGGGGGCGAGCCACCCACCTGAGGACGAGCTCCCGTTGGTTGGGGAAGGCGGCGGCGGGGAGCTCCCATGCGCCAGTTGCTTAGGCTATGGACGTCCACGAATTGGACTGCGTCGTTGACGTTCTTGCCGCCGCCGCTGTCGTAGAGGCACTACCCTTGAATCCAATCTATGTATAGCCCGGCCGGACTAATCTCCTCAAGCCGTATACCCACGTCGTCGATCAACCATGGCGTCGTCGATGGCGGCAGCCGCTGCTGCAGGCTTGTCTCTTGCGCCGACCGCGCGCGTCTGCGCGGCGGCGCCGTGGTCCTCGCGCGCCACTCCCTCCGGCTAGCCGTCGTGCGGCACTGGCCGTGTCGCTGTCCTCGCCACCGGCCGCATGGCGGCGCCGCATCGTCGTCTCCAGCTGCTACGATCATCGTCGACAACCATGCGCACGCGCGTGCCATCCTGCATCGCTAGCAATGACCACAACCACTCCAGCAGCTCCAACGTGGAAGCGGATGAGAGGTTGGCGTTGTGGGCGGGGATGAGCGTCGATGAGCTCGCGGAGGTCAGGAACGCGACGCCGCCGTGGTTCCCGAGCATGGAGGAGATCATGGAGTTATCATGGTAGTTATTCTCGTCAAGGACATCCACAAAAATAATACTTGGTATGCGCCGTCGAAGTAGTCAGACCACCTGAGCTCGTCCAGCACGCCGGCATAGTGGTCCATCATCGCGAAGGGGTTGGCGTGTCCTAGGTCCAGCCACGGCAGGTTAGTCGCAGCGACATTGGCGCTCTGCTCGGCGTCGGTCGTGGCGGGGCTGAGGCTGGCCATGGATGATGGATGTGAGCGTGCTGGAACTAGACGCCGAGGGGACGACGACCGCCAGTGGTTCGCCGCATCCGGCCGTGGCCTGCTCATGCTCAGGCGTGGTGGTAGGCCCGAGAGCGTCGTCGTCGTCGTCGTCAATGAGGGCGCTGTCGCCATCCCGTTCCCGGCGACCGCCACCGCCACCGCCGCAGGCCAGTAGTCGTCGAGCGGCATCTTGGCATCTTGATGCCGTCCACCAGCTACATTGCACCCACGAGCGGCGCCTGCTGCTGCACGGCCGCCGTTGCCGTAGCCGTCGGTATCAGCCTGGCGTCGCCTTCAGGAATCAGGAGCGCGCGGGCCTGGCTCTGTCGTTGCCCCTTCTCCCGCGTCATCACTGCCGAGCGGCGGTTCCCTCGCTCTAAGAGGAGAAAAGTGAGATAGAGGAGGAAGGGAGAGGAGGGGAAAGAGAGACCCAGATGACGTGGCATCCTTACATGTGGGGTCCACGTGGGTTCCACGCTGACTCACCCGCCACGTCGGATAAAACCGGGGTCAAACCCACGAATAACCTAAAGTAAACGATTTTGTAAGTTACATCTGGTTTTGTGCTCGGGGGACGATTTTGTAACTCGATTACAAGTTGAGGGACCTTTGGTGTACTTTTTCCAATTAGAAACCAGTCCATTTAGCCCTTTCCCATCCAGCCCATTAGCAAGCTTAGAGGCCATCATGCCCAAACGGAGAAAAAAAATATCTAAGCAGAGGGCGTGGTGGAAGGAATATTTGGTTTCGACAATGTAATGGCAGCCCGGCATCCACTATCTACTTCGGCTTGGCTTCGCGATTCGCTCGCTCCCACCACAACAACCAAAGCTGAGCTGACTCGCTCCGGCCACGCCGCAAATGCTCACCTCCTCGCTCCCGCCGCCCACCGTCCCGGGCTCCAAGCCCAGGCCCGCGGCGGCCACCTCCGTCTCCACCGCTGCCACCGCCGACGCCGCGGTCGCTGGTGGCCGGAGCGGGAGCGGGAGCGGGAGCGGGATCGGCCGCCTCTCCGCGCTCATCCGCTCCCTCTGCTCCGCAGGCCGCACCGCCGAGGCCGCGCGCGCCCTGGCCGACGCGGGGGACGCTGCGGGCGTCGTCGCCTACAACGCCATGGTCGCGGGGTACTGCCGCGCAGGCCAGCTCGCCGCCGCGCGCCGCCTCGCGGCCGCCGTCCCGGTCCCGCCCAACGCCTACACCTTCTTCCCCGTCGTGCGGGGGCTCTGCACGCGGGGCAGGATAGCCGACGCGCTCGAGGTGCTCGACGAAATGTCGTTCAAGGGGTGCGCGCCCATCCCGCCAATGTACCACGTCATCCTCGAGGCCGCGTGCAGGAGCGGCGGTTTCCGGAACTCGGTGAGGGTCCTCGAGGCGATGCACGCGAAGGGATGCACTCTGGACACCGGCAACTGCAATCTCGTCCTCAATGCAATCTGCGAGCAAGGGTGTGTGGACGAGGCTGTGGGGCTGCTCAGGAAGTTGGCATTCTTCGGGTGCGAGGCCGACATCGTTAGCTACAACGCGGTGTTGAAGGGATTGTGTATGGCCAAGCGGTGGGGAGATGTGGAGGAGCTCATGGATGAGATGGTTAGGGTGGACTGCGCGCCCAATATCGTGACGTTCAACACCCTGATTGGTTATTTGTGCCGGAATGGGTTGTTTGAGCGGGTGCACGAGGTCCTTGCACAGATGTCGGAACACGGATGCACACCTGACATCAGAATGTACGCGACTATCATCGATGGGATCTGCAAGGAAGGGCATCTGGAGGTTGCGAATGAGATTTTGAATAGGATGCCTTCGTATGGTCTCAAGCCTAATGTTGTTTGCTACAACACCGTGTTGAAAGGCCTGTGCAGTGCTGAGCGGTGGAAGGAAGCTGAGGAATTACTGTCTGAGATGTTTCAGAAGGACTGCCCCCTTGATGATGTGACATTCAATATTCTTGTTGATTTCTTTTGCCAAAATGGGTTGGTCGACAGGGTGATTGAACTTCTTGAGCAAATGTTGAGCCATGGATGCATGCCGGATGTCATCACATACACAACTGTAATCAATGGATTTTGCAAAGAAGGGCTTATCGATGAAGCTGTCATGTTGCTTAAAAGCATGTCATCATGTGGATGCAAGCCAAATACTGTCAGTTATACTATTGTACTAAAAGGTTTGTGCAGCGCCGGGAGATGGGTAGATGCTGAGGAACTGATGTCTCAAATGATTCAACAAGGTTGTCCTCCAAATCCTGTTACATTTAATACACTAATCAATTTCTTGTGCAAAAAAGGGTTGGTTGAGCAGGCCATTGAACTTCTTAAGCAGATGCTAGTGAATGGATGCAGTCCTGACTTGATTAGTTATAGTACGGTGATTGATGGACTTGGCAAAGCTGGCAAGACGGAGGAAGCACTCGAGCTACTAAATGTGATGGTCAATAAAGGGATCAGCCCAAATACAATAATTTATTCATCAATAGCTTGTGCTCTATCTAGAGAAGGCAGAGTTAACAAGGTTATTCAGATGTTTGACAACATTAAAGATACCACAATAAGGTCTGATGCAGTGCTCTACAATGCTGTTATTTCTTCGCTTTGTAAAAGATGGGAAACTGATCGTGCTATCGATTTCTTTGCTTATATGGTGTCAAATGGATGCATGCCCAATGAATCTACCTACACTATGCTTATTAAGGGTTTAGCTAGCGAGGGATTAGCAAAGGAGGCTCAAGAGTTGCTGAGCGAGTTGTGCTCTAGGGGAGCTCTAAGGAAGCACTTGATGAGGCATTTTGGAATTGTATGAGCTGATAGTATTACTGGCTTACTGCCAAATGCCAGTGCCTAATGGTTTTGGCATTGCCAGCACAAACTTGCCTACTTGAAGCTACGACAGCTCATGATGGTTCGTAGGTGAAAGCCTATAAGAGAGTTCCTTTTTTTTACCACATCGTATAGCATACCTTACGGCTTTCATGCAGTTTATTACAGTGGCATACGTAAGTTGACAATCCAACATTGTCTCAAGACATTTCTTTGCTAGCAGCATCTTTCTTATTAATGTTGTTGAAGACACTGAGAATTCAGATTCATTGGAGCTTTCAGAGCTTTGTCATTATTGCTAATTGATGTATCAGAAGGATCTACTTAGCTGTTTTATGAATATTGTATCAGAGTATTATCTAACTTTCCAATTTCATTACAATAGTAGGAGAAACCGTCTTACATATAGAGCAATTGTACTCAAGAAAATGGAAAGCAGAAATGCGAAGAGAATCTGACTAGTGCAGTAGATAATAATTACAAACTTCCCATTGAAATATTGGGCTTTTTGGAGATTCAGAATTTAAGGCCAGGTGAGTTTGTTGCTTTTGTGCCCAAACTTCATGCTGGTTGTTTTGGCCATGCCATCCTCCATCTCTAGGTATCAGCTCTCCTTTCTTCTGGGATGAGGTGAAAAGCAATTCCTCACCCATTTCCTTTCCTCCTCCTGGTTCTGGACTGCTGGTTTGATGGAAGTAGTAGCTGCTGCAGCAGCAGTTTGCAGTGTGCTCAACATATCAGGCTATGAGGCTTCCGTGCCAGTGACAATCGTGAGTTCTCCAATACTTCTCCTTATTCTTGCCTCACTGTATTGTCCGTACTTGTTTTGTCGACAAAGGGATTTGCATGAATTATATACACAGTACTTGTGGCTTCTGTCTGTCTCAGAAGTGCACTAGTTGAACAGCTGTAATTGATGTTAACTAGAGCTAATTTCTGTTCATTTTTTTTTCTGAAATGTACTAGTTCATGTAGAATTTGTGCTCAATAATCTGAAATCTGATTTCAGTTGACCGTTTCTACAAGGTAATACCTGAAAACCTGGGAGCTCAATCCAGTGGACTCTTGCTGTTAAACTATAAGTTTGTTTTTTTTTTCCTGTAGTCAGTGCAATTCTCTGATGTAGCCACTGAGAACGAGTACTTTGTTACTTTCTCTCTGGATGAGAACTCTAAAACACAAGGAGTTGACTCTTGTTTGATCATTAATCGTATATTCCATTGTGACTGAACATGACTTGTTGAGTTGTTTCAATCACATGATTCATGCCCCGTCTTTATAAAAAAAAGGTTTAATTATATGTGCTATACTATTCGGCAAGGCGAGCAGCACATTATCCTTTTATTACATTTTTATGGTCATACTTAATTCTGGAATTAAGCTGAAATATCTGCTCTTAATTTTGCAACACTTTGTAACTATTTGTGTAATTATACATGCTTAAGTGCATCAATAATTTTTATTCCATAGACCAATGGAAGAAAGAAGGTGAATTTGCTGTAGTATCTATCATTTTGCAGATCAGTTCCACTATTTGTTTTGTTCGCAATGTGCTATGGGCCTATTTGCTCCAGTTTTGTAGACTAGTCTTCAGTTGTGTCATTATTCATTAATCTGCACACCAGAAGAATTCAAAGTGTTGCAAAGAAATAAATTATCGCCACCCACAAACATGCTAGAGATAAGATTTGACTGTTGATTTGTTTTTCAAATGAAGTAACCAGAATATTCAAAATTCTGTGCTGTTGGGTACATGTTATATTAACCTTTTAAACTAAACAGTGTTGTAAGTTGAATACGTTTTTATGTACGAAGGGTGTTGTATTTATGTTCTCCTGCTTGGAACATGTTCTGAAGTCCTCAAAATCTCAAATCAATGGCTAGGCTGGACAAAATCATCACAGAATTCTTCACTTCTTAGCACTGCAGTTGCAAAGAATTTTTTGTATTTGCAAAGCAAATTAATATTTCTATAGGGGAGTTTCAAATTGATCCCAGACTCCCAGTATCATGTGCTCACTTTTGACTCATTAACCACCTATGAGTATCGTTGTGATCCTCCTGTTTTCTGAAAGTATATTTGGTAATTGTTACTGCACTGAAAAGCCTAAGCAGCAAATTTTTAGATAATGGATAAAAATCCAACTTCTATATCCACTTGTGAATATATACAACCAAAAAACCTGGGCAGCACTATTGGCGAGAATAGCATCTGTGCTCTGTGCACTATTGGTTCGCCCATTGGCAGAACAATGAATGTTGCATTACCGAAGACATCTACACAACTATCGCAATTCGCATCATTCGTGTGTTGGAACTTGATTTCCTCAAATACTAAGCTGTGGTTCCAGTTTTCTTTCTAGTGATTCTGATTTCTGATCATTGCCTTAGTCTTTCAGTGGTCATGGGAAACTTAATTTTCTAAATCATTGTTATCTACGCCCATTTTTTTTTTCAACACCACTTTTTTTTGGATGGATCAACACCAAGGCTTAAAGACCGACATAACATCCGGTTTGATCTTGAATGCTCTGGGAGGGCAATAACCAGGCAGAACCGATTGTTTTGTTTATCTGAAAACGATCCCGAATGATGTTTTGCACAAATCCTACAGCATTGCGACAATGCAAAATTTAGTCACCTTTGTTGTCCACAAACCAGTCAGAGCGTGATAAAAATCAAATCAACACTTCAGTTCAATGGAATGCTGCCAACATCATCCAGTCACCGGCTCAAAGCAGGATTAACTAGGGACGCAAACAGAAAACGGCTCCAGTGCAATAATACCAAAGTGCCCGATTAAAATGTACGCCGATGTCTAATGTTACAAACTTATTATTTCTTGCTCAACTCCTCTTCTAATGGTACCCATGGCGACAAAACTTTTTGAGCAAGCGAAAAATGTTCACTCCAATACTCCCTCCCTAAAAGCTGTCATTCTAGTGTCACCTAGGCCTCAGTAAAATGTCATGTTACAACATAGGCTGGGCGTGCACACGACGTTCAACAAAGATAGCACAAGCAACAGTTCAAAAAATTTTCATGCCAATTACACCAAAGTTGCCAAAACTATTTCATCATATGTTGTGATAGGGCACTTGACCAACACTTGTTCTTACTGCAAAAGCGGAAGGAAAAAAAAAACAGAAAACTGTCACTTTTATCTGTGCAAGAGTAAGCAATGTAAAATTCCATATCCAGTGTGGAATCCTAGAGTGCCTTAACCTGTTGAGGGGGCTGCTGTGGCGCTGGTTGTTGATAATTCCCGTATCCAGGATATGCTGCATAAGCGTACATGGCAGGATCTTGAGGCGGCCGAACATAACCATATGGATCATATCCTTGGGGGGGATATCCATAATAGCCAGCATTCCATTGGTTCTGGTCTTGCTGAGGCTGCTTGAAAATTCATTAAAGAAACTTAGTTTTGTTTATTTTACTTTATTTCTGCAGTGGTGGGTACACTAATTGCATACAAAAGCTACCTGCTTGTTTCCAGGGCTACGACCCCATGAAAGCCTTATGCTCTGACCTCCTAATTGGCTTCCATTTAGCATCCTTATGGCCTCCTCAGCTGAAGCCCTGAAGATATGAAATACATGACTCAGAAAAGAAATCAAGGGAGCGGCGAGTTGATTCAAGATCAAAATACATAATAATCGTTTAATTTTGCACAGTTCCTTCATGTGGGTTCAAATTTCACACTGGAACCCTATGGTCCTACTTAGTGCAAGACATATGCAATTGGATGCTCTACTGCAAAGAAATCTAAGCACGATATGGTTACTTAAGTGATGGTGCCAGCAAGTTTATCTGCATTAAATCATACTGAACTCAGATACCTATTGGAATATTGAACAAATCCACAACGCTTTCCTACAGGTATTTTGACGTAGACAAGTTCTCCATATGGACTGAAGGCTTGTTTCAGAACCTCATCAGTCACACTTGGATCAAGACCACCAACAAATACCTGCAAGCAACATAGCAATTGTCCAATTAAACAAGCCTTTGTGGTTATCTTAAAAATAAATAACTATGTACTCACAGTAGTATTGTTTGGATCGCTATCAGAATCTGTTCCTTGTGTATTCTGGTATGTAGCTGCAGAAAACAGAAACAAGAGTAAGACTATGCATGCCAGATATAGTTGAATATCAGCATTAACACCATAATATGGAACTTGTTATCTTGTGTCCTGTCAAAATTTGTTATCTCAACAGATATGGATGGTAAAAATGCAAGTACACCACTTGGCTATGAGGCTATCAATGTGCAAAAATACGCTATTATGGCCCTGCAATAGTCCTAGCAGTATATAATTTTGTACAGCTAAAAATTATAACATGGCACGAAAAGAGGAATAAAAGACAAACTTGTACGACAAGAACATAGGAGCAGATAAAGTAATAGAGTACGACAAAAGACGATCGGACTAGGGGTTGATGTTCTTTCTATGTTGATGATTCAATGTTATGGATAATCAATGGTGTGGTAGATATTTCTTTTTCAAAGTTAGTAATTACAGCACACCTTCGATTATCCATTTGTGGTAGATATTTCTTTTTAAAGTCAGTAATTGTGGCACACCTTTGATTATCCATTTAAATATTGAATCACTCTGAGCCACATATTCTTACCAAAGTTTCACTTTGGACCACCCTTACAATGTGTTTTTCACTTTGGACTAGGTATTGTTGCCAAATGTTGCACTTTGGACTAGGTGGCTCACATGTAAGTGACACATGGACAATAGAGGTGGTTAGTCTCATTGACATGTGGGCCACCTGGTCCAAAGTGATAAGACTTGGCAACAATACCTAGTCCAAAGTGAAACTTTGGGAAGAATATGTGGCCCAAAATGCAATTTACTCTAAAAGGAACATCAACCTATGTCAGATCTTTGTCTTAGTCTGTTTCCCTAGGTTGCCCAGATAGGTGATACACATATATGCCGCTACAGTGCTGTTATTTAACACCAATATGATGATACACCAGTATGTCCAGTTCGAGCACCCAATGTATCCAATGGAGTAAATCATGCTGGAGATAACATGAAATGATATGATGACATGGCATAAATGTTAACTCGCAATAGTTTTGGCTGCTTGTAAAATAAGCTATTCATAGAAAACAGTGTTGGAGAAGGCGCTAAGCGCTAGTTGGGCGCATGGTTTAAAAAGCGTCGCTTAAGCGTTGCCTAGGCGACGCCTAGGCGTGTGAGCGCCATCAGGGAGCAGAACGTCCCCACCACTTACCCTTCTACACATCTTGGATCCTAATATCTCATGAAATCAGGTAGACACAGGCAAGGTGGGGGTCAAGGGTGCATGTGCTGTTGGGAATTTATGCATGCTGGGAAGGAAATCACGTGAAGATAGGATGGAAATCGCATGTGCGACAATTTAGGGAGAGGGAAGGGTGAAAGGTGGAAAGAGAATAGAGAATAGGTGTGCCAATTTAGGGAGAGGGAAGGGTGAAAGATGGAAAGAGAATAGAGGGCGGGCATAGATTGGAAACATAGCGACTGGGAAAGATGGAAAGAGAAGATGGTTGTCTCCCTCCTGCTGCTCCCTTCGTCTCCAATGGATCTGTCTCCCTGCTCTTCCTCGCCCATTCATGTTCTTCCTCTCTTTTGCCTCATATATCTCTAGTCGCCTTACCCTCGCCTTAAATGCTTAAGGCGTCGCCTAGGCAATTGAGCAGCGGTGGGTCGCCTTGCCTCGCCTTGTCGCCTTAAGAACACTGGTTGGGTGGCAAGGTGCCGACTAGCGCCTAGCCCGCCTCAACGGCGCCTAGGTTCCCTTTCTAAAACAGTGGGATATGGAGGAGAAGATGAGAAAAAGGAGGGAAAGAGGGTGAGAGGCTTGGATGAAAGGAAAAGATGGTGAGAGATTAAGAGGGAAGAAGAGAAGGCCAACCCGTCGCCGTGTGCCCTCAACTTGGCCGCTGCTGTCGAAGAACAAGTTGCACCGTGATTGTGGCTGATCCGCCGGCTGTGAAGAAAGAGAATAAGGAGGCTAGCAGGAAAGAACCTTTAGGTACTGTACTTATGGGCTGTACTCTTTCCCTTCGGAACCCTAATTTTCTTCTGATCCTTTCATCTACTCGACACCGCAACGCGTGCCGTACGCAGCCACGCACCTCCTCTGCCACATCTGTGCCTTCCCATCTCTCTCCTGTGACCTTTTCTCCCCACGAGCAGACTGGTCGCACAAGGCGCCCGCCTCACGGTCTCGACGCTCGCCGAGGCGGGTCACCCACCTAACTTGCCACCTAGGGGCAAATCGTGGCGGCTGCCCTCCGCCTAGCACCAAATCGCCGCCTAAGCGCTGCCTAATACCGCCATTTAGAACAGTGATAGAAAATCATGTCCATTCATACATAATTTAAAAATAGAAGTATTGAATCACACCTGAGATATCTTATGTCACAAAAGAACCCTTGCATAGCAATTATGAAATGGCAAATATGAAAAGAAGATAAATGGGATATCAAAAAATCACTTACAAGTATCTAGAAAATCAAAGCTGCACCAGGATTTTCATCATTAAGAGTATACATTGCATATGATCTCCAGATTTGGCATATTATTTATGCACTTTTACTGCATAAACAAGATCATTATCATGGTGGACTACAGTTTGGCATTTGCTATATTCATTTTGGTACATCCTCAATGAATTAATGTGTTTGGCATAGTCTATGCATAATTGGATGGGTTTAGTAGCCAAATAGACATAGACAGGTTTCAACGAGCATCTTTGGTTAAACTTCATCGCTTTATTAGGATTTGTTCAATCTAAGCAGTTATTAGATTGACAATTGTATTGATCAGAAAATTTGATTTTATCTGTAATCATTCTATATCCAGTGTGTTGAGACTTGAGATACTATATGTGAATTTCCAGGTATCTCAACTCTCAAGGTTACATACATAGTAGTTTCCTTCTCAGATGATATATGGTAAAAAGACAAAGAGAAGTGAATATAAATTTTTCCTATCACATATTCAAATCCCTCTGCCTCCCTCCTATTTCCTCTCCTTTGTTTTGACCCCAACATACTCATTTACTACTTGGTGGTAGCACGCATACAGTCACAGAGGCAGTCTGCTAGTTAACGCTTCCAAGTCTCCATATACCATATGCTGGCCCATCTGATCCAACTGGTTGACCAAACATTCCAAATTGCAGATGTTGCAGTTTTTAGTACAGCCACACTAAAACATTGCATATCAACTAAACTACCTAACTATCGAAGTGACACTCTAGACTTCGACCATAACCATCGAAACAAGGAACACGGTCCCTTCTTTCCAAGCAAACAATGTTATGATAAACAGCAAGTAGCACAAAAATGCTTGATCTATTGCGAATTATCATATCATCTCACTGAATAAAATGTTTACATTTCTAATGAAATATTCAAAAGTAGGAACTAGCTGTGAAAGAAAGCTTTACCACTTGGTTGTTGTTGGCCACCTATATTTTTCTTGTTGGATGCTGGTCCAATACGCATAGGCCTGCTAGAACAATATTGTCCATTCATTTCAGTCATTGCACGTGTCTGTTCATCCAAATCTCCAAACTTAACAAATCCATAGCCTTTTGAACGACCAGTACTTCTGTCAAAGACAACTTTTGCACCCTTAACTGATTGGTAATGGGCCTTGAATGTATCTTGAAGAATTAAATCTGTAACATCCGAGGCGAGATCCCCAACAAATATAGTATAATCTGAGCCATCATCTCCACGCTTCTCGCCAGCACCACTTGTCGCCCAATTTAATTTGAAAACCTGATTACCATTAGGCATCATTTGACCATTATAGCCTTGCAGAACTTGTTCGGCTATAGCATGGCTGCCAAATTCAATGAAACCATAACCCTCAGGTTGCCCAGTTTGCTTGTTCCGAATTATCTTTGCTGAGATAAGCTGATCAATGACCAATGTCAACAAAGCGTTAAAAGTAAATCCCAAATCTGAAGTGAACAGTTCAAGCAATTACAAATTCAGGCAGCAAATTTGTTCAGGTGTATCCAAAACAAGCATGCTAAAAAAGACTGGCATTTTTTTTCTCTATGTAAGAAAAACCATTGCCCACACACTAACACAGCATCAGAGCATGTGGTATTCATGGCACTCTTAACTTAGAAGACCTCTGCTTCCTGTATAAATTAGGTAAACATCCAACCGAATCTATCAGCACACCCATTCCCACCAGACCTAAAATTAGAAACTGACTAAATAAAGGACGGAACTTCAGTGTCCAAATCGGGTAACATTGATTTATCATATCAAAAGATCCTTTTTTTACTGAGCATCCAAACATAGCTGATGAAAAGTCCCCCTTTTTTACCGAGCACCCAAAAGGAAGCTAGTGATATTACTCTTGCCAAACACAAAGTATAATTTTGTAACCAGAAACACAGCATCACCATCAACAACAACAGCAAAAAAAAGGTGGATAAGGAAAGGCGCGTCACCTCGCCGGCCTGGGAGAAGCAGTTGTACAGGTAGTTCTCTTCCATCCAGAACTGGAGGTCGCCGATCCACAGGGTCCTCACCTCGTCCCCTGCTGCGCCACCAGCCGGCGCCGGCGGAGGGGCAGCCTGCGGCGGCGGGGGCTGGCCCCACATGGCAGCGGGTGGATGCGCCCCCTGGAAGTACTGTGGCGGCGGCGGCGGAGGGCCAGCCTGGAAGTACTGCGGAGGAGGCGGCGGCCCCATTGCCCACTGCGGCGGCGGCGGCGGCTGCATCATGGCGGCGCGGGAGGACGGGGGCGGCGGTTTAGGAGTCAAAACCCTAGAGAAGGGGCAGCACAGCAGCAGCAGGGCCAAACGGATGAGATAAAATCGTGGAGAGATGCCCCTAAGGTTGTCCCAGCCGTCCAATATGGGGTAGACGGATCGGATTACTTCTTTACTTATTTGAGATTGGGGTTTCAAAAGAAAAGGTTGTTCACCCTGGCTTCGGTTTTTTGAGATTGGGGTTCCTTCCTTGCAGCAATATGTACTGACTACAACGCATATATACATCATCCCTTTATCTTAGAATACATGCCTTTTTGGTGTTATCGTGGCAACTAATTATTGTTAAATCAAATTTAAAGGAAATATGAGTTCCAGGATCTCCATGTTCCGAGTTCTAACACTTAGGATCACCTAATTTATTAATTTAATGTGGAGTTTGATTAAAAAAAGAGTAAATTGTATATTGGGCCAAGTTCAGGGGCGGACCCAGGTGGGGTTCCTAGTATGCACCGGCATACCCAAACTTTTAAGATTTTTTTTTTACGTGTAGTATGCAACATTGAGTCTGGGGGCTCTCCCCTGCAGCAAATCATATCCCAATAGGTCCAATTGCTAGCGCACGGCGCACGTGCGTCTGTGCACTTGTGTAGGTTTTCTCATCTAGTGTCGTTGCATTACTCTGTTAGCGGTAGCACCAGTTGTAGATGAGGCCGTTAGGCAGTGAGCATGATAGGCGAAGCCGCGAAGGTCATGCTGTGGTGTTGTGCTGCGCTGCGCTGGTGTGATGGACTCCAACAGAATCATTAGCAACACGTCTAAGTCCTTAGCAATCTGCCCCTAATTCCCAAGCAGCTCTATTCTATGGCTACGCCAATGGCCAACGGAGTATGTGATGGCCCGTGGGCATTGGGTCGCTGGTAACGGCGACCAACTCCATGTGTAAAATCAATTGAAGGCAACGAAGACTTTGGGCATTGTTCTTTTGATAAATTACGAATATTAGTTCTGAATTTTGCACGTGAACTTTGGTTTGGCTCTTGAATATGTGGAGGCGCACCCAGGATAAAAATCCTAGGTCAGCCACTGGAGCCTAGTTTTATATTACATGGATTTCACAATGAACAGGGCTTAGCAATTTATTTTCACTCTACACCATGTAAAAGACCGTCCTTCTTCAACTTCACCCGCTGATGTTCCCTAGTACACTCGCGCTTGCCGCCACTCTTATGATTATTAGCCACTGTCCATTGCTCTCGCATTGCCATCTACCTTGTGTTGGGGGCAAGACAAAAAAGCCACACTGTGCGTGTGCACTTGCTTGAGATGTCAACCCGTGGGCAGCGGTGAATCGAGAAAAAAAATTACCATGGCACTGCACGTATGATAATGTATATAATATTTGAGATAATCCATGAAATAACATCGACAAGCGTCTAAGTCTCAGAAATGTCATCGTACAAACGATTTTGTCCTAAAAATGCCATCGCCGTTAGGGTTCTATCCATTCCGTGCCGTTAAAAACACTGTTCATCCTATAGAACTTAACGACGCGGAATGGACGGAACCCTAACGGCGATGGCATTTTTGGGACAAAATCGTTTATACGATGGCATTTTTTAGAACTCACACTTGTCGATGGCATTTCTGGGACATAGACGCTTGTCATGGCATTTCATGGATTATCTCATAATATTTTAATTTTCAACTAATAAACTTTGACCATTAATAATTTTAAATGATTAGATTATAATAAAAAATTAATGCTTATGTCTAGTATTTAATACACTTTGATAATATGACATCTACTTAAGTATTTAGAAAATTTTTGAGAAAAAGAAGAACGGTCAAAGTTTAAATGGGAATAGTGTTTATAACAAATATTAAGGATCCGAGCGAGTAATAATTCCTTAACCCCCTTCGGTTATTGGAAGCCTTTAGGGTTTAGAAAATGAGATAAGGAGGATAAGATCTATGAGCCTATGCTAGAGCTCCAACTCCTACATTTAACTTCAGGAATTGGGTTTGTGGAGCAGCCTAAACCTAGCTTCACCTCTCTAGTTCATTCTGTGAAAGCGCTCCACGCGGCTCCACTTCTATTTTAGGTGGAGCTGAAACTATTTGGTTGGGTTTCAACTTTAAGAGAAGTGGAGCTAGAGCTGAAGCTGTACCAAACAGACCCTGTATCTATAAGCTTAGTGGTCACGGTGAATCATCCATCATTTTTTTTCGCCTCCCCAAATTAATTCTCTTTTTCTTCATCAGATCATCTAAATCAAAGGCTAAGTTCTACTGCACAACCCTCCTACACAGGCGTTCGCACATACCCCGATCGCCTCAATCTTCATACGCGTCGACATCCTGCACTCCCATCCCCTTTACATGCCGACACCATCGTTTAGACCGCCACCACTCCTTGTCCACTCCTGATGCCCTCCATCCTGTCCACTCCATGCCACCACCACATCCATCCACACGGCTAACGCCGCGGGTCACCACCGCTCAATACTCTCATCCATCTCCATGCTTCCACCATTGCCACGCCACCACTACTTTTCCCCCACTCCTGATGCCCTCCACCATGTCCCACTCCATGCCACCACCACGTCCATCCACGTGGCCATCGCAAGCGTCGTTGCTGCCCTCTACTCCCATCCTCCTCCATGCCGCCGTCATCGCCATGTCGGCGCATCTCCTCTCTTCTCTCTCTCTCCTAAACCACCGTCCGCACCCTGCAGTAGCCTATCTCTGCACAGCGCCAAGCTACTCATCGTACACCATGGGCGTCACACCCTTTCGTGGAGGTAGCCACAGTTTCTTCAAGCAAGACGATGCCTCAGACACGATTCACAAGAACACCTAGCTCGTCGATATCCAGACGATCGCGGACGCCATCCACGTGAACACCAAGCTCACCGACCACTAGGCTGTCGCGAACGCCATCCACAAGAACACCAAGCTCGCCGACCACCAGGCCATCGTGGACGCCATCCAAGGAACACCAAGCTCGGGGACAACCGGACCATCATGGACTCCATCGATGACAACACGACCGTCGCGGACGCCATCCAGGGAACATCAAGCTCACCGACACCCATGCTGCTGTGGACAACGATCGCCTCACCCACAGGAATGCCCAAGCTTGCCGATGTCCATCCCGTCATGGAAAGCGATTGCTCCATCAAGCTCGGCAATGCTGAAGTATACAACAAGGTCGTTAATTCGCTACAACGCCACAGACATCAGCCCTTTGGTCGCGTGGTACCTCGCGCACCACCTCGCCATGTCACCGCCATCGCCACGAATGCATCGCACAGCCTCCACCCTACGCCTGTGTCGCATCGCTGGTGGCCCCTACATGCGCTGTCAGCCGCCGTATGCTGAGTCATCTCCACGCCCTGACTCCTCGAACTGCCGCTTGCTGCCCCCATCCCCTCTATAGCGAACCGAGTTTTGAGGCCCTAGTTTTATGCGTGTACCGTGGTATTCCCATGATCAGTCGCTAGCACACTCATTTACAAAGTTAATACCACATCCATACAAATATAATATATACGAATGTACATTATTTACATGTAAAACATAATATATGTCACGATACAACATCACATAAACAAAAAGAAGTGACTTAGTGGTGTCTCATACTTACCCACAGGCAATTGATAAGGACAAGTCCTTGAAAGACTTCGATAACCCACCACGAACAGCAGCGACACAAATTTCTTCAATTTGTCCTCCTTGTGCTCTAAAACTACATATTAAGCGAGATTGGGTACATGTACACAAACATGCAAGGCTATATCAAAGGACAACCTCATGTTTCATGTGCATAAAAGAGAGCATTTGCATAAATAAATAGTAGTTCGCAACTAATAGTAATAAAATCATTTCACAATATTTGACAGGTAAATGTGACATCCTGGACCAATTAGGACGAGACCTATGTGGCCCATAAGAACTATATGCGCCTGTTTGGTTCCACACTACTAGTTAGAAAGGGTGAAACTAACTTATAAGGGTTTGTCCCTCCAAGCATATCAGTCTCGGGTTAACCCTTTTACATGAAGCGATGACAAAAGTGTAAGTGGGCCTACCTGTCGGTTGGGCTACGCTGCACGGTTCTAGAGGGAAAGCCATTACAAATGGTACTAGAGCTAACCCTTAGGTTGCGCGTAGGGTTAGTTTGCAAGCATATCCCTCGCCCTCGCCCTCCCCCGTGCGGATCTGGCGGCGGGCAGCGCGGTGGCAGATCCGGCCTCCACGCACGCGGATCCGTGCCGCCGCCGCCAATGACAACAACAACGAGGAAGTGGCCAGGAGCGGCGTCCTCGGCCCCATGATAGCTGGATCTGCGCCATCCCCGCCGAGAATGACCACGAGGAGGAGGCGGCCAGGAGCGGCACCGGCCGGATCCGCGCCGCCCCCGTTGATGACGATGAGGAGGAGGCAGCCGGGAGCGGCGCCGCCGGCCCCTCGCGCATGCACGCCGGCCAGATCCGCGCCGCCGCCGCCGCCGCCGCCGGATTCCTAGGGTTTTGATTTTTTTTTGAATTTTTAAATTTTTTTCAGATTTTTATTTTTCCATGCTGGTACGCCACCCGCACAGAAAAATCGGATTATCGTAGACCTTTTGGCGTAGACGGGCAGGGCTTCCGCACGCAAAAATATATAGGTTTTGGCCCGCACAGAAAAATTGTTTTTTACTAGTGATCTCAAGCCGAAATCGTGCAGGTGTCGCCTATTGGGGAGAAAAGCTCAATGATGCAGCAATGCGTGAGGCTGTGAGATGAATTGATTCATTTCATTATGTAGCTGGATTTGCATTAGTGATAGCTGATGGCTACCAAAATCATGGGAATGAGTCTGATAAACAATGCCTGAAACTGTAATTTCACTAGCCACAACATCCGCTATCCGCTCCCCTCGCAGGAGCAGGAATCAGGATTACTGTCTAGGCAGCAGGTGCATCATCTGGTAGATTTACAGTGCACACGATGGATTGAATATTGCATCCATGACTTGAATAAACGCGTACGCGCGTTAACAACTCGTACCATCTGTATTATTACTATAACTGTACGATCGATGAACAGTTTATTGCTGCATGCTGGCCGGTACATACACTACACAGCTGCTAACGTACTGCTCCGCTCGCTAGCTGCCACCATCACTTATTTCACACCTAATCGCGCGCAAAACTACTTGCCGGCGCCGTAGAGGTGAGCAGCCAACCGCGGCGTCGCCTGCAAAACCAGCGGCTGAGCCAACACCAGGCTCGCCGCCTCCTCCCGCAGCTCAACCCTCTCCACGCCGGCCGGCTTGCTCCACTCGAACCCCTGCAGGAGCCTCGCGAACAGCGTCACGGTGATCAGGGTACCCAGCGACACCCCGGGGCACCCCCGCCTCCCGGTGCTGAACGACACGAACCGCAGCTCCGCCTCCGTGAGCGCCACCACGCCGGCGTCGCCACGGCCGCCTGCAGGGTACGGCGACAGGTGACGCTCCGGCCGGAACTCGAGCGGGTCGTCCCACACCCTGGGGTTCCGGCCGAGCCCGACGCGGCTGAGGATGACCTGGCTGCCCTTGGGGATGGTGTAGCCGGCGATGGTGGTGTCGGCCATGGCGACGCGCGGCGGGTTGAAGGGGTGGTAGGGGTGCAGGCGGAAGGCCTCGCGGATGCACGCCTTGAGGTAGTTGAGGTCGCGGACGTCGCTCTCCTGCACCAGCCGGTCGCGGCCGACCACCGTGTCCAGCTCGTCCATGGCCTTCCGCATCACCTCCGGCTTGTTCATCATCTCCGCCAGCGCCCACTCCACTGCGTTCGATGGGTTGTCCACGGTGGCGATCATGATGTCCTATACATACATGACAATATTATTTCTTGTTATATACTCCTCGACTGTATATACTCATTTTGTTTTATATTATAAATTTTCTTTGATTTTTTCCTAGTTATACCTTTTTTAGTTTCACTAAATTTATAGAAAAAATATAGTAATATTTTTTATATAAAACAAATATGTTATCAACATATATTAAATGTTAGTTTTAAAAAATTAATTTGATATTATATATTTTACTAAATTTTGTATATACTTAACCGAACTTAAAAAGTTTGCTTAAAAAAGTCAAAACGACTTGAATTATAAAATGGAAGGAGCAGTATGTATGTTTACTTCAACTTATTATTTTTATAACATAATGGAAAATCTTATAGATTTCCAGTGACCTTCTAGATCATCCTTATGTCACGAGAGACAAGTAAAACCTTCCAGACTTTTACAAATAATTAATGTGCTTTAGATATGCGAGTTTGAACCTGTAAATTAACTTGTCGTGAAGAGTACTAACTTTCATGGTATTAATTAATAATTTTGGTGGATTCTGAAAATATATCATAATGCAAAATTGTGGTTAAAGTTACATTTACGATGATTAAAAATGTGAAAACCAGCATAGTACTGTGATTGGGTTTCTTTATTAAAACGTGCAAACCAGAAATTGCGAACAATAATATTTTGTCACAAAAATATATTGACGAGAATACTTTAGGGTGTCATGATTTTGTATATGTGGTTAATTTATTACAATGATGGACACAACGTCGAATTACCATAACCAAACATGCACGGATGTTGCAATACAGTCATCATGCTTGTCCCATGGTGTCATCTAACCAAATTAAATTCGTCCCTATATAAACACATAGACTAAAAGGTATAAAAGGTACAATAAGAATACTGCACACATATTTTAGCATAAGTTAGGTAAAATCTTTAAACCGACAGTCGATCGGTCTTAATGTATTCAAAATATGCATGCTTGACAGGTGAGGAATAATGCTAAAAGACCAGTAAAACATTGCAACCGGTAAAGAACTTGATTGTTGACTCCACAGAGATGAAATCATGTAACTACTTTCTCTGTACCAAAATATAAAGAGTTATGAATGGATGAGATACATTCTAATACTACGAATTTAGAAAAAGAATTTGACCCTACACTCCCACAGGAAATTACTGGATATGTTTCCCAAAAAGGTGCCACACACAGTGACAGTAGTAGTACAGTATAGTATGCATATATGTACTTCTTCAACATTGTCCAGTTGACAGTTTTACGATTCTCGTATGATCGGTGCTGACTATCTTTCTTTTCTTTGAAGTGGCATTTTTTCAGGCACTACCTTAGCATCCTAAAACTTTACATGTTTGTTTTTTTCATGGCCGGAATAAAAACAATCTTCCAATTTGAAACTTCAACAAATTAAGTATAATGTGTATAATATTTGTTACTGTAAAACAAGTTGTACCAAAACATAAAAACACATCTAAGTTTACCTAGGAAATGAAAGGATAAACTAAAAATTACATTTAGTAGGTAGTAGAGTAAATTAAAGTTATAGTTTTCTATATTGTACAACTTTAAATTGCACATTGTGCTAGTTGGGTGATCGCCAGTACATTAGAACAAAAAATGCAACTGATAAGCAAAAGTGATACCCTCTCTTGGTATTTATACATACAAAGCTATTGATTTTATTCGGTTAAATTATTAAAACTATAATTTCTTAATAGGTTTCAAAATTAGTTTAAAAACGTGAAAATTTATGTAGGTAGATTTTCTTTATAAGTAGTTTTACAATATTATAATTTGTATGTTATTACCATTATGTTCGACTCCATCCGTCTCATATTATAAGTCATTTTTTAGGTTTGACCAAGTTTATAGAAAAATATATTAACATTTTCAACACAAAATAAATTAAAAATATTCAATGTAATATTTAATGAAACTAATTTGATATTGTAGATGTTGCGATTTTTTTAAAGAAATTGAGTCAAACCTAAGGAAGTTGAACTAAAAAACGAAGTGACTTATAATATCAAACAAAGGTAGTTGTAGTACTAGAAATTTAGTGTTCAAAATTACATCGCAAAGATTCGATAAAGTTAACAACGTCTATATATTATACCTTCGTCCCAGAATATAAGAAGTTTTAGAGTTGTACATAATTATTAAGAAAGTACATAAAATTAAATAGAGAGATGTTGTGATTGGTTGAGAAATGGAGGTAGGAGAGAAAAGTGAATGGTGGGGATTATGATTAGTTGGTAAGGGAATGTTGGTGAAGAAGGCCGTGCTTAGTTCACCGTCCAATTTTTTTTTTGAAGTATACGGACACAGATTTGAAGTATTAAACGTAGACTAATAACATAAAACAAAATACAGATTCCGCCTGTAAACTGCGAGACAAATCTATTAAACCTAATTAATCCGTCATTAGCAAATGTTTACTGTAGCATCACATTGTCAAATCATGACGTAATTAGGCTCAAAAGATTTATCTCGCAATTTACATGCAAACTGCGCATTTTTTTCGTCCATATTTAATGCTCCATGCATGTGTCCAAACATTTGATGTGACTTTTTGGCCAAAATTTTTTGGAATCTAAACACACCTGAAGTTGTTATATTTTAGAATAAATCTGTTAAAGTTGTTATATTTTAGGATAGAGGGATTAACTTACAAACCGTGGATATAACAGATGGCCATGTGCCCAAATAAATGGTAAAGGTGGTGAAGATCAAATGCATGCACACGACACAGTTCTCTATCTGCAACTGGAAAAAGCACGTCATGGCGGCCGGCCAGCGGAAGACAAGCTAGTAATGGCAACGTACGGTCGACATGCTGCTAGCGGTCTAGCAGAGATTGGATGTAGCATGCGATTCATTAACTAGAGGCAATAGATGAGCACTTACTATGGTCTGCGCCTTGATCTCCTCCACGGTGAGCAGCGGCCGCCCCGCCGCGTCGTCGAGCGAGGCGAGCACGTCGAGGAAGTCGGCGACGTCGCGCCGCTCGCCGGCCTTCCGCAGCAGCCGCCACTCCTCCACCCTCTCCTCCACCACGGGGTCGTGCAGCCTGTTCAGCGTCCTCATCACCTTCTTGATGACCTTCTCTTGGCCGTCCAGGTCGAGGCCGACCAGCGCCGGGAAGTAGTCGGAGACGCAGAACGCGTCGAGGTAGTTGAGCGTCGCGAAGAGCGCGTCCACGTGCTCCGCCTCGTCGCGCCCGGGCGCCGCGGCGTCCTCGTCGTCCGCCCGCGGCTCGCGGAAATGGCGGCGCCCTAGGGTGAGCCGGCGGATGACGTTGCCGCAGAAGTGCCTGGCGACGTGGCGCACGTCGACGGCGGCGCCGTCGCGGCCGCACCGCACGAGGACGTACCGGACGAGGTGGTCGGCCTCCTCCCCCCGCGCGCCGCGGAGGCGGTGTTCGGTGGCCGGCGAGAGGATCTCGGCGGTGAGCACCCGCCGCATCTTCCTCCACTGGTCGCCGTGCGGCGAGATGCTGGCGCTGCGGTAGCCGACGCTGAACGACTCGGCGGCGAACGTCGTCGGCCGGTCGGCGAACACGGCGTCGTTCTTGCGGAGCACCTCCCGTGCCATCTCCGGGGACGTGACGGCGACCACGTGCACGGGCCCCAGGCGCACGCACACGATCTCCCCGCCGGCGTCCGCGAGCAGCCGGTGCACCCACCGGAACACCGGCTTGTTCACGAGCATCTGGTGCATGTTGCCGATCACCGGCAAACCCACGGGCCCCGGTGGCAACGACTCCAGCCGGCCGCCGGCGCCCTTGCTCCGGTGACGCCGCCGCCGCACCAACGCGACGAGTACAACAACCAGCATTGCAACTAGAGCTGGCGCTCTCATTGGTGGCATGGTGACTGCCATTGCTTCTGACATGGAGTAATGGATAGATAGGGCAAATGTGTTTGTGTTCGGAGTTCGGACCACCTTAGCCAAATCATAGGCTATTTATATCCGAGCAGTCCGGAAAGGATGAGTAGGAGAGAGCATTATAAATAAAGGGGCAATTGTGTTCTTGTCCTCACTTTGAGTTGCAATTGTGATTTTACCCTAACTTTTTAGGGTTTGTGATTTTGCCCTCACTTTTTTCAAACGAAGCTCTGTTTTGCCCCTATTCTGTTAGCATCACTTAACAGCGTCAACTTAGCAGTAGAAGGACTTGTATACCCTTACACATTTGCCTCTCCTTTCTTGATATAATGCGTATATATTTCGAATTTGACCAAACTTTGACAAATTTTGGAAGAATTTAACATCATTTCTGCAGCATTTTCAAAGAACTTGCATCGGGTGCAAAAATTCACCAACAAGATTCATCACAGGAAGAAATCACCATTCACCAAACAAATCTCTCGCAGATACAAGACAGGAAAATGGGAAAGAAAACAGGGGATTTGCAGCAGATTTCCACCATGCACAAGATTTACTCCATTATGTCTCTTAATCCTGTATTTTCAATAGCGCTAGGCCTCCGTCCCTGCGCCGGCAAGAGGTTAGGAGCGCCAGCCCGCCGGCAGCAAGTCGTGCCTCCCTGCGTCCCTAGCCTGCGCTCCAGCCCGAGGTCGCCGCCGTGCCTGCCTACATCCTTTAACAGCGCCATCCCGCCGCCAAGCTACCTGCTCGCTGCTCGCTCGCTTGCTGGCCGACGGAGCCGCCGCTCCTCTCCGCCGCGCGCTGACCGCGGGGCCACCGGCCGCCGCGCCGCGCCTCCATGCGCGCGCGACGCCGCCGCCGCAGCGCCTCCCTGCCCGCGCCCGACTCCGCCGCGCGCTGTTCCGTGGCAGCTAGCCCCGCCGCCGCTCCTCCCTGCCGCGCGCTGGCCGCGCATAGCCGCCGCCACCGCCGGGTTTTGGAGTGGAAATCGGGATAGGGATTGGGGATTTGGTTCTTTCATTGAACCAAGGGTAAGGGTAGAATGGTCATTCAAAAATGATAATAACATTTTCTATCTTCGTTTAAATCTGAAATTCCGGACCCACCAAACTTCTGTCAAAACCAGGGCTAGACGGCTGCTTTATTTCAGAAAAACAAGGGCAAAATCACAAACCCTAAAAAGTAGGGGTAAAATCACAATTGAATCGTAAAGCAAGGGCAGAAACACAATTGCCCCATAAATAAATGTCTGACAGACGCAGGGAAATGAGACAGCTATCCACCAACCAGTGCTTAGTCACCAACGCAATTCAAGTCTCCCCTGTTACAGGGGTATGTTAAAGTTTTAGCGTGTCACATCGGTTATTATATAGGATGTCGTATAGGGTGTTTGGGCACTAATAAAAAACTAATTACGTCAGTAAACCGCGAGATGAATTTATTAAGCCTAATTAATCTGTTATTTAGCAAATGTTTATGGTAGCACCATATTGTCAAATCATGGAGCAATTAAGTTTAAAAGATTTGTCTTGCAAATTAGTCGCAATCTGTGCAATTAGTTATTTTTTAGCCAATATTTAATACTTCATGCATGTGTTCAACCGTTCGATGTGATATGGTGAAAATTTTTAGGGTGATCTAAAGAGGGCCTACCTTTGAGAGACGGAGTACTTCCTCTGTCCCACAAAGAGGTAAATCCTAGTATCCCAATGCAACACTATAGAAAAGGATAAATGACCAAACTACCCGTTATTATTAGTAAATTAGTATTTGTGGGTAGGTAGGTATAATGGGTATTGAAGGAATAATTTTTTTGATTTGCGAACCGAGAGTAGATAAGAAGGTAGAAGTTGATTTATTTTGGGACAAAGTTTAAATTGTAGAAGTTAATTTATTTTGGGACGGAGGGAGTACTCTTTTACTGGGAAACTGTTTTAAACACTCGGGTGGATGTCCACCCGTTTCTTGCATGTCATCTAAATAGTTATAAAAAATTTTCAAAAAAATTGACATGATAGGTTAATACGTGATATATCACTTCACAAACATTCAAGTTCAAATTCGATTTCTACAAGTTGTAACAAAAATAATAAATTTAACTGTGAATATACGCATACTAGTTAGAGTTTGATTTATTATTTTTGTTACAACTTGTAGAAGTCGAATTTGAATTTGCATGTTTGTGAAGTGATATATTACATATTAACCTATCTTGTGAATTTTTTTTGAAATTTTTTCATAATCATTTAGATGACATGTAATAAATGGGTGGACGTTCACCCGAGAGATTAGAATCCATCATCCTCTTCTACCAGAGAGATCGAGTACGGAGTACTAGTACGTAGCAGTAGTCTGCATGGAAATATGTAGCAGCAGCCAGCAGAGTAATTACGGCGACATCAGTAATAGCTTTTTTTTCTCGTCAAGGGAAGACTTGACAATTATACTACGACTTGATAATGAAAAATGAGCATTTGATCATCTTAGAAAATGTTGATGGGAATGTTCTATTCTTCTGTGCAGCTCACCCGTCAATAAGATTAATAAGCATTATACACGTGATACTACATAGGCATTATTTTTGGGAGTTGGGACGAAATGGAATTATTAAAAGTTGCATGCGTTAGTGGCTGCGGCGTCGCAAATCGCAGGGCGACGAAAATTCGACAGTGTGACGCGGAAGTTGGAGAATGCTCGATCGGGAGGAAAATCCCTGCTGTGCCGCTAGATTTTGTCAACAAGGCGGGAAATTTGGAATGACGAGAACATCTGAACATGCACAGATTCGGCTCGATCTTGGGCCGCGTCTCGGTTGAATATTGGGATCCAAGTGGAGACGTTGCAAAGGAAGACCTTAGTTGGAAACTTCAGGGAACGTGCCACAAACAACTAACGCTAGATTTATATACGAGCAAGCTGGCATTAATTTTGGTTTAGAACTATATATATGTTAGTTAATGTGACAATTTGCCATCAGCAAGTTCATTTCTAGGCACTACCACAGATGCCAGTTTTTCCAACTGGCACCATAGAGACAACACTGATGACTCCGATCATCGATGCCAATTTTACAACCGACATCTATTTTTGTAATAGATGCTGGTTTTTCACTTAGAACCGGTATCTATATGGTTTTGGAACCGGTGCCTTTAAGGTGCACACGACAAAAAAAATCGGCTCGATGCATCGGCTCGAAATTAAAATCGATTTCGAGCCAATGCATCGAGCTCCCCTTCACCCTGCATAGAGCAAGAACACATTGAAGAACATCAAGAACATCCGAATCATCCCAATCAAGAACACAATCACAAATTCACAATCATAAAATACACATCAATCACCATCACAAAATCCCATCACATCAATTCGAGCTGATGGCTCAAAGCCAAAAAAAAAACAAAATCGAAAAATCTAAAAGAAAATGAGACAGGTTCTTGCTCATATTAGATAATCAACAAGTTCATAGATCAAAAAATCAAATATTAATTTGTACATTCACATCAAGCATTCATCGATACATCATTCACATCGAACATTCATCAATAAGTTTAGTCAAAAACCAATCAAAGGAGAGGAAGGAGAGGTCGCCACTGCCATCCCGTTGAGCCACCGGGGAGGCCCTGTTGAGGGTAGACAATCGCTGGCGGCAAGATCAGCAAGAGAGAGGATGGCGAGGGAAAAGGGAGAGTAGGGAGAGGACGAGGGGGATACTGACCTTTGCGCGAGGAAAACAACACTGAGCTTGCAAGGCAAAGGCTGCGACGGCGAGCCCCCAGTGTGGGCCTCCGGATTAGGTGCCACCACGACTGGATCTGGCGTATCCGTGAATGGATTCGGCGCGGCCGGCAACAACGGCTGTAGAAGGCAGCGCCCCTCCTTCCCTCCTCACCGTTGCTTGACCACCAGACGGTGGTGGCGCGACCTTGGACCAGATGGCGGATCTAGGGGCGAGGGCTCCCCTCCCTTCCCCTTCTAGTGTGTGGACGGTGACGTCCTGCCTGCAACGAGGACAATGTGCCCGGCCAAGGACGAGAGAGAGCTCTCGTGTGGGCCCTGTCGGGAAATATCGTCCCCTCACATCACCAGCTCGCCTCGATTTTTCTAGACCGTTTTTTTAAAAACTGGCACCAATAATATATTATAGGCGCCGGTTTTTAATAGATCGAAACCTATAATAAATTATGAGTCTTTCTTAAGTGCGGAAAACATAAACTAGCATAAGAGTACGCACGACCAATCAGGGAGCGCCATTTGGCAGCCGAGTAAACAATGCGCTTAAATCACGCGAGGGGTATTAAGATCATTAGGACACCAGCCTATACTTGGTTTACTCTAATCATGATCCACACCGGAGGAACGTACGCAGTGTTAGTGTTCGCCACAGAAGACAAAGAAATCCTCGTCGGTGCATTAGCTAGGTTTACACAAGATTCCACATTGTTTACATCACAATTAAAATATCGATAAATTACGTGTAGACTCCATGAGGTGACATGAATGTCATGGAATGGCATTCCGGTCACCGGAAAGCTAAGAGGCGAGTGAAAAAGTAAAATTACGTGCTAGTTATATGGTTTACTCTCTACATATCGCCGCCACTTTAGATCGCGTTTAAAGAAAGCCATTACATCAACACACGTAAATAGTGGTATAAATGATCAGATATAGAAGATAGTAGCTAAAATCAAGCGATCGCTAATTATTGGTTACATCATATTTACGTTGGTCTACAAACACAGAGTACATAGCCACATAAAATCGATAGCACTCCTCTGGTTTACGCCGTGAGAAACAAAATTTTTTTTTATGGTGGGCCAGTGTCACACCCCGAAGTTCATCTCCCAAGCCTAATTCATTTAATAAATTGCTGCAAGAAAATTAATTGTCTAATGGCAAGAGAGAAACCCTAATGTAATAAATGCAAATAATAATCGGAATTGGCATGTGGAATTTTTCTTGGGTCCTACGTATCAAAATATGCTAACAGGATTTTTAGTGGAATTTTCAGAGCCCCAGAAATAATTTTAACTAAATAAAATTGAGCACAAGCAATTAAAAAGCCCTGGAAATCCTTTTTCTTTTTCTCTCTTTTTCCTTCCTTTTGGGCCGCCGGCCCACTCCCTCCCCCTTTCCCCCGTGCGCCTTAGCTGGGCCGGCCCGAGGCCGAGGCCCAGCAAGCCGACCGCCCGCGCCCTCTCTTTCCGGGTCACCGACAGGTGGGCCCCACCTGTCGGGCCTGCCCCGTACCTCCGGCCGGCGCCACCGCGCTACAACCGCCGCCTCCCGCGCGCACTCCCGCACGCCCCGCAATCGCCGCCCCACTCCCCCGCTCGCGCTCGCGCCTCTCTCTCCTCCCCCACCTCCCCCACTTCGCCGGCCATTTCCTGCCTCTCCCGGTCACATCCGGCTGCCCCTCGCCCATATAAACCACCCCCGGCCTCTCCTCTCTCTTTTTCGCTTCCTCGCCGTCCGCTCTCGTGCCCTCCTTCGCTCTAGTGCCGTCACCCTCCTCTCTGCCGTTGCCGCCACCGCTAGCTGCCGTGCTGAGCAATGCCGTCGACGCCGTCGCGCTCGCCGTCCCGTGAGCCACCCCGTCCGCCGTTCGCTCAGCCAATTCCGCTGCCGGAGCCCACCGTCCACCTCGCGCCGGTGAGCACCTCCATGGCCGCTGCCTTCGGCCGGCGTCCCCGCCCTCGGTGATCTCTCTCTCACTCTCTAACTTCCCCCATTGTTGATCCCTAGGTCGTCCTGGAGCTCGTCCGCCTATCGCCGTCACCATCCTGCCGCCGCCGTCGTCGATCGTCGTCGGTGAGGCTCTCCTCCCCCTTCCTCTCTCTCTCTCTCGGTGCCCCTTAGCCGCTGCCTAGCTCGCCGCCTAGTGCTGCTGCTAGTGCCACTCCGCGCTGCCGTGTCGCCACCGCCCCGCGCCGTGCCACCACGTCGCCATGGCCGCCTGTTGATGTGAAAAACACACACTGGCCTAGAAGATCTGCTTAACTCCTCTACAAGTCCAAAATCTTGCTTTTAGGTTCGTGAGTGTGACAGTTGATTTGATCTTGCAATCAACAAAAAAAAACAAGAAAAACCGCGGTTAAATCCATAAACGATAGCCGATTGGCTAGTTGCCGATGACATATCATTTATCTTCGAGCCGATGTCATGTTAGAATCGATCGGTAGTAATGAATGAAACAAGAGCCGATGTCAAGTCTAGCTGCACGTCGACTTCTCTTTCACGAGTACATTGCACGGGGTGTAGACTTGAAATGGTTGAGTTAACAGCATTAGCAAATCTGAAAAGAGAAAGCAACAGAAAGAACTGGATAGGAAAACACCCCAAAAAACACATCTTCCTCCACATAAAAAAAAAAACACCCCACCAAAATCCAGTGTTTTTACGACCAACTAAAAGAACTGGATAGGAAAAACTGAACCCCGTAATACCATCATCCCATTGCTAAGCATGGGCATTCGTCCTTGTTCCTTAACATCCCGTTGCAAGGCACGGGCATGCCACTAGTTGCTCATAAAGAATGCAGTTTTTCTGTCCTAGGGTACCTGTGTCTTCAGTCAAATTCACCATGTTTAAGTGATTCGAACATTCAAAAACAAATCATGATCATAGTACATATAAAGTTACAAACCATCAAATTTTCATTCTCAATTAAAAAAAAAGAAATCAATCAAAACTATTCATCATGGGATAGATGCACAACTTGTGTTGTATAGATCTTGACAAATAGGATAAATCTGACATCAGATTTTTGCCAGTCTGTATAATGTTGAGTGAAATCATGATTTTTATTGGAATTTTTAACATTAAAATTATGTTCGATACAAAGTATTTAGTATCTTATGTTCATTGGTCCGTAAATTGTAATATCGTATGGTTTAGCATCTTATGCTATGCAGAACTTGTCCTATATCATGAAAAGCAAAGAAAATGTGCATACCATTTTTTACGAATACGCATGATATCTGCGCATCGTTTCATCAAGCAGGAAAAAAAAAGAAAGAGGCGAGAGGTGCAGGAATTAGCCAACCCCAGCACCCACCCACCAAGGTCTTACAAAACGAAAGAAAAAAAAAACCACACGCACACACAACACTAAACACGAACTTCGACCTCTAAAGGTACAGGCTAGCAAACAGCTCTGGGAGCTTTGAATCTCCTGCCCAGCACCAAACTGCACCCTCGTTAACTATAGCTTGGATTACCACAAACACGCTAGGGGTAGCTCCATGGAAAACACAATCATTTCTATGTTTCCAAATCTCCCAGGCAACTAAGATGACTGGCTAATTGAGCCTCTCCCAGGCAACTAAAATGTGCATACCTTTGAGCAAGTTGTGCTCGCTTAACCTCTGTAGCTGATGTTGGAGAATGGCAGAATCAAGATATGTATGGACTGTTGACTTAGAGAAACCATTAACCAACAGAAGTGGGACTGCAGCTGCACGACGCGCCATTGCAAATGCCATAATCAAGGCTGGATCCTCTGATAACGACAACCTATATATCAACAACCATAACAAATTAGACTGGAAAAAATAATTACATATTTAGTTTATAGAGGATATAATATATCTTGTCAGTACATTTAACTCCCTTGTAGGTATAGCACTCCATAATAAGCTTACAAGGTACTACTAAATTGTAAATGATGCAGCTAAATTCTAAGCACAGACTATCCGGGGGGGGCAGCGGCCTGGCCCCCTACAACGATTTTCTTTTCACACAAAATCACCTAACTAAGTAGGCAATACTATCTTACTATAAAGTTATAACCCACTAATTCTAAAGCTCAACATGCACACATGCCACCTCATCATCCACTACCAGTAATTACATACAAAACTTAAGCATGCATGCAACGTCATCTATAATTCATTGAATTCTACAAATCAACATCCAATCATCTTCCTTCACATTATTTTTCACAATATTATTAACATATATATATATATATATATATTCATCATTTTTATAGTACTTAGCATACATTCATCCATATAATCAAAGTGCGGGATATCATATTTCATTTACAATCTCATATAATCTAAATGTATCTCTCTAAACATAGTTTAACAAACCGGTTTTATTTGTTGTTAATATCTAATATAATTTTTACTTTTACCTCAATTATTAAAAAAATATTAAAAGTTACTTAGAAATTTCCACAGCAAAACGCAGGGAATCACCTAGTTAACTTAAGTAATACTCCATCCGTCCCAAAATCCCTCTTATATTATGGGATGGAGGTAGTAGTGTATTAGGCCCCCTCCAAGACTCGTAGGCTCCTCCCAAGTCAAAATCCTGGCTCCGCCACTGCAAATGATTGATTTGTAACTAACTAAACTAAGTACATATGACTAATAAATTAGTTTGCAACCTGTAAGGGTATGCATAACAACTTGCAACTTTGCAAGTACATAAGAATTACTAGTAATGTTGGTAAAAGACACAGAAGAACAAATCCATCAGACAACTTATATAGGTGCTGTACCACTAGTGAGAATGTATGTATATGTTCTTTACATGGTTATACAAAATAACTTGTATTTTTTATACATGAGTAACTTGTATATGTCAAACAGAAATAAAATATCATTCATCCAATAGATAGAATTGTCCTTAGCTTACATCTATAAGCCTTTATGAAATTATTCAAGATAGAATAGGGCTTATTGAATACAAACTTCTCACGTACACATGCTTATTGGTCTTCTATGATCACTTATACCTACCCAAGTTCAACAAGTGTAATGAGACAAAATGGTTTGGTACCAACAGAACGTACATTCCATATTCAAATATGCAAGTAATTTTGCTTAGGTCACTCCTAAAATTCTACAAGAATTATAATGATGGAAAAAGAGAGCACTTTACATGATTAGACCAGTCACTAATAGAGAGTATACTAAGTAACTGTTTTCATCTTCCAAACGAAACCAAAGAATTACAATTCCAATCCACCGCCCATTGGCTTGTTTGGGTAGAGAACTGAGTTGTCCGCGGTCGCTCATGTGGCCAAGGTATCAAAGGCAACAGCTCAGCAACAGTGAGTTTCGACTTTCGTGTTAGCTCCTTGCTTTGGCCTTAAGCCACTTAGACATAAGACTTGCCAGTTGATTTCCATGTACTACCTCCGTTTTTTAAATAGATGACGCCGTTAACTTTTTCTCACATGTTTGACCATTCGTCTTATTCAAAAAATTTACGTAATTATAATTTATTTTGTTATGAGTTGTTTTATTACTCATAGTACTTTAAGTGTGATTTATATCTTATATATTTGCAAAAAAAATTTGAATAAGACGAATGGTCAAACATTTGAGAAAAAGTCAACGGCGTCATCTATTAAAAAACGGAGGGAGTATTAGATATTGTTTATTAGGGCCTCATAAAGGGTACAGCTTTCAGTGATCTCTGAACTCCCTCAGTTCTAATATCTCCTGATTTCAGATGCACCCATCCCCTGCACAGTGATTATCTGTTCCTTCTGCCTTCGTGAACCATAGCCATAGCCCCAAGCCTTAGTTTTTATCAAATTGACCACCCACCATACAGACTTGAGATCATTTACCCACAGGGTCAGGGCACAGCACAAGTATCAACAAATCAAACACTAAATGGATACAAATCATTGGCGTGGTCTAATCTTTCTAATACTTTTATGATCAGTATTGTGCTCTAAATGAGTTTGATCTAGCATTATATTGGACTTGCAGACATACAATAGGAATTAGGAAGTCAGACTGCCACAATAAAAAACTAGCCAGGTGCAGATGACATTCACATATAACTTCCATTATGAATATTATTAAACCCCTGGTAAGTTAATTGCTTTGCAGGACTACAAACCAAAAATTTACAAGATGAAGGTTACATACATGTGTTGACTGAACATTGGCTTCTGGAATTGTAGTAGCACAGAACTAAGGCCCTCTGTGACTGATTTTACATTAACAGGCAACTGCTTTATGTTCCTGACTTTCTGCATAACGTTAAAAAATGTGAGAGATAACTGTATTGAATTAGAATATAAGCAACATAAAAGTTGCCCCTTGAACTTACCTCTTGTGTCACAAAGTACAACTGAAACAACAACTTATCATAGTAATGGTGAGCCCTATGAGAAACAGAAGGAGCAATTACATGCCTCATAGAGCCCCATAACACGGAACCAAGGTGTGCGAGGAATGAATCACGAGCCACAGTGTAACTATGATGTTCCTGGCACATGTGATTGAACTTCGTCATTAGAAGTACGATTAAAATTCTGTTATCTTAACAATTAAATATTAGACTTCAGTAATTGCATGCACAATTGCACAGTGAATATGTGTTTTTAGTTGTCCTGCTTATTAGGGAAATGTTTTGCTATAGAAACTGATTTTACAATGTTCTTTTTATGTTGTGTCGTAGAAGCTGTTGGACAAAGCTAACCTCTGGAACATCTTTAAATAAGTTCCACTTTTCCATCCTATTCAATGCATCAAGAGCTTTCTTCTTATTAATATCATCCGAATCTCCAGTATTGTAACCCTCCAGTTCACTTTTCAGATCATGCCTTCTCTCATCAAGTTCTACATTTGAAGAAAAATAAAGGTTCTAGTTAAAAGGGAAGGTCTTTCTGATAAACCCAATTAAATTTTATGAACAGTACAAGGCTGCCCAGCAACTACCATAAACTGAAGATCTCAGCAAAGAAAAGAACACTGAATAGCTTATTGGCATCAACAACTTGTGAGAAAACATGGCCAAAGGACAAAACAATAAAAACAATGTTGTAATGATTGGAGAGAAACATAAGGAATGTCTTTCATGTATGGTACAAACAGTAGCTCAAGTGCATATAACTCAAAAATATCAACTACAAGTAAAGTCTACCACTATGTAGTAATGTGAATAATTAAAAGGAACACCCAAATTTATGGCCATGAAAAGTACCTTTGCAAAGGGCAAGCTGTACCCTTCTTCCAACACAATGCTTGAAGGCAAAAAGTTCGTATACATCAATCTCTGCCAATAGGATATCTACTGCATGGTAATTCTGAACCCCCAAAATGGCATCAGATAAACTAAGTCAAGAGCTAGTTCAAGATGTCATAACAATATACAGAACCAAAAGGGAAAGTTACACAACAAACAAGATTGCAAGAAGAAACTTGTTGTCTATAGTGTTAACATCAGTTGGGACTTGGGATGCCACTATTTTGTGGAATATCGTTGCCAGTGATGTGCTAGTTGTAATGATTAATGGGACCACTTGTATTTTGAATCGTCAATAGGTCTAGCAAAAAAAGGTATTTAGTAGAATACAGAGCAAAATATTTCCAAGCTGCCAAAATATTTCTGCATCCTCTCTTCTCTACAGTTCTGATCTCAAAGCTCTCACTCTACTGATCTCAATTGAACTTTACAACCACCCTCCAAAATAAGAGCTAGGGGCAAGAGAAAGAAAAGGAATTGGTATAAGCAACATGTGCACCTTGAAAATCTACGGTACCTAACATGGAGATTACAAGAATAAGTACCATCATTTAGCCTATGAGATTGAGTAGTAAAAAATAATTTATAAACGAATAGATTGTTAATATCCAGTGCATTCTAAGAGAAATCCAGCATACCTCGCCAAAAGATGAGAATCTCTCTGATTGTATCTTGTAATTTAGCTTCAGCCTCTTCTTCTGTAACTTCTGCATAAGAATAACAATCATAAATTAGTGCCACAAAGGGAATCTCAGTACAGAGCAAACACATTGTATACATGTTTAAGTGTTACAGAAATAAATTGTCAAATTGCAAAACTTGCTAGCCCTGCTATGCCTAGCCCCACCAGAAATGAGCCTACACACATATCCCATAAAAAGCTACTATCAACATGCTTGGACAACCACTTTAGCCAAAAGGGCTAACGTGCAGTTGCAATATTTGGACTGACAACCATTATGAACTGTTCCATATTCAAGAAATGAGCCTACACCCATAGCCCATAAAAAGCTAGCAACACGCTTGGACAGCCACTTCCATCAAAAGGGCTAATATGCAGTTGCAATATTTGGATTGTCAAGCATTATGAACTGTTCCATATTCCAGACTATAAATGGATTATGGAACTAACCTGCTGTCATATAAGCCACCACTAACCGCCCAGCAATTTGACTATGGAGTCGCACTCACCCTGTTCCACCCCAAAAGTCAAAGCTAAGCATACCAAGATAAGTGATGGTGAAAATCCACAATACATGCTCCACATAGGCCTACATCCACCCCACACAGACACAGTCTAATACCACCCAAATTCACTTGTGTCTAATCCTCATGCACATAAAGCATCCCCAGAGCTTTTGTCCATGCTTCTCCAAAAGGGGTCAACACAGCGTTATGTTTGGACCCGCAAGTATCAGATGCTACTCTATCAATTCATGAATACTTGCCACCGTTTACTTTGACATGTTAAAATTTGACCAGCACTGTTTCAGAGTTATATATTTATCAGGTATGCATGTAGAAAATTATTGAAAGGAAAAAAACAATGATTTGCCAGCCCATTGTCCAGATAATTAGGTTACTTAGTTCTAGCCCTACTGGTTTGCTGGATGCCTGGGAATCAGCAAGGAAAATAGCAAGTCCCAAAATATTGTAGTAAAAACATGAATCAAGTATTCATTGATATGTTAATACACAGAGAAATACAAAAGGCTCAGTTTGTGGTTGTTGTGCTGTGCTCCGTTGTGATTATTCTTCCAGATACAATGGAAAATAAAAAAATAGAATCATTATAGTTTGTTTTGGCAATCAAAATAACGCTAGAAAAAAATGTATTCAACAGTCATTTTCACTTTATTTGCTCCACATTTTCGGAAAGTAATACTATTATCTTTTGCAATTTAAATCAAAAGAAAAGCAGCTTGCCAAATAACAAAACTTCTAAAGTAGTTGCACCAAACAAGAATATGGTAATTCACTGAATGCCAAACTCTAGGGCATTGTTTAGCTTCAGCAATTCGGCTTCATTACCCATGCTCAAGAAACCCTCTGCCCTCCCACCATCCCATGCTGTAAATGTGCATTGTTCAAACCATAAATCAACAGTCGTATTTACAGCCATGGCTGAGGAATCTGACAGGGTGTATTCAATATTTCTTTTCCTTTTTGCTGCTGAAACTTTTGACTTATACAAATCCAATTTGCGAGGATTCCATCTGTAGGTTACTGATATTTTTATGAACAAAACAAGATCTGCGATGGATAAGTTATAGTGATTTTTATCATTTACTATCATCTTTGTATAAATATTTTAAATTGTAATAAAATAGCTTTATAATGTAATCCTTGTGATTATAATCAGAGCAACAACAGTGCAAATAACATGACCAGATGGGCTGGTCGTAGCTGAATAATTACGGATTCTGAATATCTATTATGCCCCTAGTTATTAAACCAGAACGGACCAGGGTTCGACAGTAAAAAACCGGAACCAGAGCCTAGTCCAGTCTGGTCTGATTGAAAGACTAGAATGCGACCTGGAAAACAGGGGGTTAAACCAGGCGGTTTTGCACTTCGAACCGGGTAGAACAAATTTTCTAAACAATTTGCCCACAGGCGCGCGGAGGGAATCAACCTAGGGACCTCCCATTGCATACCCGAGGACCAAAACAGCCAAGCAAGGCAGTCGGTTGGTATGAGAGGTAAAATAGATTAAACTTAACCCTTTTGAGCAAACCAAGACTAAGGAAAATATATTTATTATTTCCTTTTGAACCAGTGGCCGAACCGGTGAACCAGTGGTCTAACCAGGTGAACTGATGGACTCAACAGTTCGATCACCAGCCCAGGTTTAACAACTATGATTCTGCCACACAGTTGACAGGTTGTCTTCTTGAGGTATTGCCCTTCACTGATATTAATAATCAGGATGACATTACTTCTATAGAACTATCAAAATTTGAAACATGACGAAATGAATACAACTTATGTGGTTTTCGTTTACAATAGACACAAGAAAATTGGCATGGGCTCATTTAATGTGATTGCCATATCCCATTAATTCATGGCAACGTTAACAACTAAGAAATATGAAGCAACTGAGTCTAACATATTAAGAAAAATAACTGCAAGTTTGTTGAATCAACAATTTATGACGTTTGAAACAAGTAGAGCAAGAATGCCTTAATATAATATAATTGAATAACATAATGAGTGTACAGTTTCTTTTTGTGTGCGATTAGTATATAATTTAGATTAATGTAAACGGGCTTGGGTATAACGAGTTAATATAATAACATGACTACCCATGTTTGGTTACCATGAATAATCTATTGACACAACACAGGACCCGTTAAAAATGCTAGCTTTGTATCAATGCTAAATTGTCCTCTCTCTTTTTTGTTCTAGGACATTGCAAGTGCATATGGAATGAGTATTAAATTTGAAGAAGTAAAAAAAAAAAAGCAAATTAGGCCAATAAATAAAATTATACAGGTAAAAGATTCAAGTGCCTGGTGCTACTACAAAAACTAATGCCAAAACCAATATGCATACACTGAGTTGTCTAAGATAGCGTCCAATCATGAATAATGAGGGAGAACACAGAAATCATCACAAGAAACAACCATTTTAGTCAAAAAAGGATTTACAAAAACTTCACTTTTGACCTGGGGTACTAAAAAACTTCTTATGATTCTAGAGATGAATTAGTTCCGTTCAGGCCACTAAGGAAAACTAATGAGACTTTTTAAACAAAAGAAATACTGACACAGCACACTATACAAAGGAAAACTAACGAGACTTTTTAAACAAAAGAAATACTGACACAGCACACTATACAAATTGTATAACACTAGGCAGTAACTGAATTTGAATAGGTAGAGAAGGCCTGATGACAAAAATGAAGTGACCTGCAACAGCCCCAATAGTCTTTGCAACATTGGGTAGACTAAGTTCAGTACGAACACCGTCCCCACCAACAGCAGGGCCCCAGGCAAATGGCCCTGCACTCAGATCAATGAAAGCAAATCTGAAAATAAAGTTTGGTTAGAAGAAGAGGAACTAGCCTAACTCTAAGATTTTAACTATTCATGAAATGAAACAACAGCAGACCTGTCTCTGCCAATCCACATATCCGTAAGGCATTCAGCATGCAGACCCTTCAAATCACTGGACTTGAGTGCACTCTCAAATATATCATGCAACTCATCCTTTTTGCCATGTAATACCTACAAGAGCATGTGATACTGTGATGTTAGACACGCAACTATAGAGATATTTCATTTAGTGTACCAACAAAAAATGTGACACCTGGACAGCTTTGTCATAAACAATACTCCCTCCATTCCTAATTGATCTTCATATATGGTTTGTGCATCAATACCAAGACAATCCTGCGGAGCACTTAATCAGCATCGAAAACATGCATTAGCGTTTCGTATCCGTGAATGCAGCGCCATCAATTTTGCATGCCGTATGGCTGGCCAATCAGTTGTGAGCATATTAAATCCATGCATGCAGCAGCTCCTAATCAGTTTTGCATGCCGCATAGACTGACCAATCAGATGCATGCAGTGTTCATTAGGAAGTGTCATTAACGTCCTTCCCGGGATTTTCATCGCCTCCCCACCGTAATGCGACGATCAAAATGGAATTTTCATTTTTTTGCAATACGATGATCAAAAGGGAACAGAGGGAGTATCATCTTTGCTCTTTCCTTCCTTCAACAGCTCAAAATTGCTTAAGGCTTCCTTTCACTTCTTTGACCAATCCCCCTGTTAAAGAATTTGAATAAAAGCATTCCGCTAGGTTTATACATTAAAACTTTTTGATGAATGTTCGCCTTCATAACTTTGTATCATGCATTCTAATCAATTCCAAATTCCAATGGGCATACAGTATCCTTTTTAATTCATTAATTCCAAGTGTCAACAAAAGTCAGTACTTGAAGTCAAGAAGGATGTGTGCAGTACTGCAGTTCCTAATTCCAAGCAGTTGAATATCAAAATTGGTGCTATTCCATACTATACTAGCAACAAAATATTCATTTTTAGACCTTCAAACCAAAGAACTGAACTCTAAAATTTCAAGTGCAACTTCTAATACATGGCAAGTTGTATAAACCAGTTGCAGTATATAACACTTTCTTGAATTCATTAGATGAAAAGTCTAAGCACTCTGAATACATGCATGTACGGAAAAACAATGTAACCGTCTAATGAACTACTCCCTCCGTTTTATATTATAAGTCATTTGACTTTTTTTCTAGTCAAACTTTGTTAAGTTTGACCAAGTTTATAGAAAAATCTAGCAACATTGAAATATCAAATTAGTTTCATTAAATGTAACATTAAATACATTTTTATAATATGTTTGTCTTGTGTTGAAAATACTAATATATTTTTACATAAATTTGGTCAAACTTAAAGAAGTTTGATTAGGAAAAAAGTCAAACGACTAATAATATGAAGCGGAGGGAGTAATTAGCTACTCCCTCTGCCTCACAATAAATCAACTTCTGGCTACAAACCTGGACATAACCTATATCCAGGTTCGTAGCTAGAAGTTGATTTATTTTGAGACGGAGGGAGTTAGTAGCAAGCAAGTCAATATTTGATTAGCTTTGTGGTTGACTATGTTATGCAACCTCAAGCTTCATCAACAAAGTTAGTTACGGCCAAGGTTGAACACAGATGAAATGTTTGGAATGGCCAACACAATGACCAAAAAATAACACGTTGATGCAGGCCAAAATGATTTTGTAAAGAATACAGAAATGTAACATTAAAAATACCATATCCATATTGTCAGTTGTTGTCCACGAAAATGATGATAAAGGATGACTCTCATACAAGGGTCTTCTGTTGACTCCCTTTTCAATATCTGATTCATAGATGGAGATAAGTACCAAAAGGAAAATAACTAAAGGAGCTACTGCATGTTGCAGTTAAATATATCAAAACTGGGCATACAGCTACAGTGAGAGAAAAAACTGAATTGAAACAGTGTCCTTGTAGGTTGTGACTACAAAAGGATCTACCTTGTGTTCACACGACACACATTTGAACAACAGCATACTGTTTCTCAACTGGAAACACAGTTCACAAAAATCACACTGCAGATTAAGCCCCCTAAATAGTTCATCCTAGGGCTTCCAAAGAATGTTTTGTGATGTAGAACGACATATATTCACTAAGCATGCACCAATGCGCACTGTAAATGATTGGACAAATGACAGATGGCTGCCATCTTTTTCCAAATGACAGATGGCTGCCATCTTTTTCCCCTTTTGCTATATCTATATCTTTATGTATAGCTGTGCACTTATATTCTAGTACAGCGTGTCTTGTGCACATGTGCTTGTAAACCTATTGTATTATACTTTGGCCCATGACCCATTGGAATACAAGGTTCAATTCATCAACACAATATCATGAGCCATGGATAAGGGTTAGTGTTTCCCCTCGTCAGCTGCCACCTCTTCACCAACTCCGGTTGTTATCCAGGCCACGGTTCTGAGCCTCACTGCAATCTGATGTGCAGAGACTGGCCAGGCGGAGAGGTCTCCAATGGTAGAGACCACTGATGGCTGGAGTGGTGGAAACCCTAACTCCCACCATGTGCTCATGATAACATGTTGAGGAATTAGATCTTGAATCCTAATGGGCCAATACAGAAAGCATATACACAATAGGGCTACATGAAAATATGCAGAAAACACCCTACTCGAAGTGGACACATACGGCAACATATACATCTAACACAATTCAGATGTTTGGATCACAAACAACACCTCTTCCCGTATCCAACTCTATGCCAATCCCAGTGGCTGTTCAGGTGTGCTTCACTGAGAATTGATAATGGAAACTTAGAAAGCTTCAAGAGATCCCATGTTTCACCAAAACCTATCCGCTCCCATGGGTGCTCTCACGTCCTTTGCATAAAGCATATAGTAACTAAAGGGGGCAGGCATGTGTTTATCACTAATAACCAATGCCAGTTACTCAGTTGATTTAATTGCTTTAGCAGCTCTGGCATCACCCACAAAAGGACATCATCTGCTGCCCCCCTGCTATTGAAATTGTGGCCAATTGCCATAATGTTAAACTATGTAAATCTAAAAATTCCTCTTGTAAATATCACCATAGTTATACTCCCTCCATCCACAAAAGTTACACCTATTACTTTTGTCACAAAGACCAAGAAGAAATTAAATCATCTTGGATGTTACAAAATCAAGGAGTAAAAGCAAACATGCAACCAATGAGTATTTAGATGACTCCTTGGGTTCTAATCAAACATTTAATTTATCTCTTCATTTAAGTCTTGAATGCATAAAGACTACAAATAGGAACAACTTATTTGGAAAAACTCAAATGTGAAATATGTACTTTTTTGGATGGAGGGAGTATCACATAGTTATTTTATTTCAACAGAAAATTTATCTTCATTATGCAGTCCCTGGTATTACATCCAAACAGGTGAATTGCTCACTTCTAATTGCAATTCTGGAAGCTTAGGTCAAGTCCTGGAACTAAGCAGGGCCCAAGATAAATTCTTATATGGGCATTATAGTGACATATAGTAGTAACGAGTTTAAACTTTCTGAAGTAAGCAATAAACTAGGGAAATTGCAAAGGAATGTCTTAACCAATACCATAACCAACTTAATTAAGTTAACATCATTAGTTCTGTACTTCTGTTAATAATATGGGCCTACATTATCCAGTGTCAAAATTTCCAAAATATTCATAATATTACGGAGGGCACCCCTTGATTCTTAAGAAAAACAAATATATAAACAAACTTCAGACGGTAATATCTGTGGATGAACTCTCCATGTGTATTTTCATCTTCACTGCAATAGAAATTGAAAAACAAAATAATATACATAAGAAAGACTATAATTACCAAGATAGTCTCTTGTCACTTTTAGATTGAAGAATCCGAGCTTGCAGGGTCTTATTCTGAAAAAAAAAACTACATGTCATTGTCCACAAAAGTACAGGGTTTCTCAACAAACAAATCCAATGTTAATAAGGAAATATACAGAAAGGTAAACATAAATCTGCACAACATATCCATTCAGAAGAACATAATCTGCACAACATATATTTAAGGCCTGATAAACAGGAGTCAAGAATCGTGTATTCATGTCAACTTCCAAATGGAAAGAGCAGAAAGGAAGACAGCAAGTATAAAGTGAATTACAGTTATAAACTGAACATAACTCCTCCAAATGCATTATAAAGAAAAATATGATGGTGACCTCTTGATATCACCGAGTCCACCAGCTCCCAACCAACAATAAAGAGATCTATCAAAGGTACAGGACCCAAATAAACTGCATGGACAATTAAAACAGAGATTGCTCCAAGATTTTCCATAAGTTCTGTAAGTTACAATGAAGCAGAAGAAAATAAACCCACCTTCAAAGAGTCGATTGTTGTTAAAATCTATTCTGTGTTTGCCAAACTTATCTAGTATGAATTTTTTGAAGTTAAGCACGTGAACGATAGCGAGTAATTGTCATTAAAGAAAGATCACATTGTTAAGGGATTTGAACCAGACATAACTCAGCTAGGTTAAAAAAAGATTACATTATTATGGGTTACCTGAAAATTAACGCACGGTTTTTGGAACTCTCTTGAAGCTACAAGTCAAGACAGGGAACGCTCAATTGTTATCAAGCAGTCCCAAGCAAACTCACAGCAGTACATAATATGTTTTGGAGAGGCATAATGATAGAGAGAGCACAAAAAATCCGCTAATAAAGAGTCTAGAGACTATATTTCCCTGACTCCCAATTTATACTTGGTTTGGTTGTCTTTTCATTTAACTGCACTTTGGATTTCTTGATGATTAAAAGATGGGCATGATCAGACGGATGTGTTAAACAAGACAAACTATGCAAAAAAAAACAGAACTGCTGAGTAAATTTTATTTGGTAACTAACAAGTTTTATCAGAAACAATTATGGAGAGATTACATGTTGAAAAATTGTCATATCATTCTAATCACCAAACAAGCAAGAAAGCATCAGACCATTTTCTTACACAGAGTTCTTTCGGCAGCTAGGAAGAACTAGAAAGTAGAAACATCAACATGTGAAAGATATTCGATAGAACAAATTCTAGCACAAGCACATACATTGTCAGGCAACTAACAGAAAGGTCCAACACATTGGCTTGCATAGTCATATGTTTGACATTTGACAGCAGTAATGCTCCAGAAATAAGATGGAATTCCATGATATCTCAGTGAAAAATCTTGCAAATGTCCTCGTACTCAATGGCCTTAAGAACCTTCCCATCATAGAGGCCCTTCTCAACCTGCACTTTGGCACAAAATCTCTCTGTGTCCACTGAAAGCAACCTTGCATTAGATCCCCGGTAAGCTCCATTAACAATACGCACCAGCCCACCAATCTGGGGGATAACTGTCTCAAGCTCATCTTGGTCGACCCTAAGAACATGCTTGCTCTCCAGCATCTCAATCTCCCCAACATACTTATCAATCACCCTCTTCACCACACCCTTCTGTTTGCAGTACCCCTTCTCTGCCAGCGACTTGCTCATCACCTTGACCACAATACCTGGGCATAGCCAGTAATCCTTCCTATTGCTCCGCTCCTTCGCTTTCTCCTCCTCCTTCATCAGCTCATCCAATGCTGACCTCCTAGCTTCTGCTGCGTTTATAGCATCCTTTCCCTTCTTCTTGGCCAACTCTTCCTTCTCCTTATCCCGCGCGCTCACCTCATCCTCTTCCTCAAAACCAAATTTAACCTTTGGCTTATCATCGAGAGGGTTAACCTTTGGCCCTGGCACAGCCCGCTGAAGTGCAATTGCAATCTTCCCTGCTGCTTTGTTGGCTTCTTTTGCATCCTCCTCTTGTCCCTCATGGTCATTTTCTGAGTCCGAATACTCATCTTCGCTGCCGGACTCACCTTCGCTACCATCCGGACTAGCATCATCACCAAGTTCACCATTAGTTTTACCCATGGATTGCTGGGCTCGCTCTATCTGGCGTGCAATCATGCGCTCCTGCCGCTCGTCCTCCGCAAGGTCGGACTTGATCCTCTTGCGCTTGAGCCTGGCCTTCACGGCCTGCTCGGAGTCGCGGTCGATGTAGGTGATGAACCACCCTTTGGGAGTGTCCTCAACCTTGCAGTGGCCCTCGCGCCCGAGGAACTTGACGAACTCGGTGAGCGTGGCCCAGCGCGTGGAGTTCATGTGGACGTGGTGGCGGTCGGCGATGAACTCGTTGTAGACGACGGTGGCGGCGATGCGGGAGTGGCGGTGGGCGCGGCGGAGCAAGGTGAGGAAGGCGTCGAGGAACTCCTCGGAGAAGCCCTCGACGACTCGGTCGGGGGCCTGGCCGAACACCTGCATCTGGCGCTGGTGCGACTCCGACATGCAGTGGCACTTGAAGCCATTCTCGTCGCGGCACTGCTTCTGGCACATCTGGCAGTACCACCGCAGCTTCTGCAGCCCCTTCGCCTTGATCCTGTTCGCGATCGCCTTCGGCGTCAGGAACTCGTGCTTCCCCATCTCTTCGCCGACGCGGCAGAGGGTAGGTGTTGTTCTTTAGGGGAGGCTGCGTCGATGGCCCGAGCGGGAGGGAAGGCGGCGAAATCGGAGGAGAGAATTATCGGGAGAAAGCTGGGGTAGATTGGGGGATTGGGGATTGGGGATTGGGGAAGTTTGTGTTTCAGAGCGCTGCGGTTGGGGAAGGCGGCCACGCGGATGGCGGGGGAGGCGGCGGCCCTTCTCTCCTCTTGCTCGGCTCGGTGGCTAGGGTTTGGCCGGGGTCTGACGGGGAGATCTCGGGCCGGCCCTGAGCCAGGTCAGTCAGGGCGACCGACCTGGGCCCCCAACCCATCATTCAGAAAGTCTACTCGCTCCGTCAAAAAAAAAAAAAAAAGACAAACCCTGGATTTCTGTGTCCAACTTTAACTGTCCGTATTATCGTATTATATGAATTTTTTTATAACTCGTATTTTCATTGTTGTTAGATGATAAAATATGATTAATATTTTATACGTGATTTGTCTTTTTAATTTTTTTCATAATTTTTTCAAATAAGACGGACGGTCAAACGTTGGACACGGAAACCAGGGTTTGTCGTTTTTTTTTTTGGGACGGAGGGAGTACGTATTTTAGCCCAAGGCTCAAATGATAACGTACAGCCTTAGGGCCTGTTTGGTACAGCTCCAACTCCTATATTTAGCTTCAGGAGTTAGGTCTAGAGTGGAGTTGTGGAGCTGCCCAACTCTAATTTATTTTATGAGAGAGCTCCACCCAATTTCACTCCTAGTTTGGTGGAGCTGAAACTATTTGGCCGAGCTCCAGCTCCAAGAGGGGTGGAGCTGGAGCTGGAGCTGTGCCAAACAGGCCTTTAACTCCAAAAATAGTTGCGTAGTTCTGTTCCTAGCTGGCCGCGCCGGGGGGGGGGGGGGGGCACGCTGATACGCGCGCGCGGTCAGTTGCCCCCCTAGTCTCTCTCATATGTAGTAATATATACATCATATGTATATACTATATATATATATACATATGTATATATATATGTTTTTATAAATATATTTTAATGCATAAAAATATATACACATATAGAAACTTTGTATACGCGTATAGAAACTTTGTATACGCGTATAGAAAGTTTGCATAAGCGTATAGAAAGTTTGTATACGCGTATACAAACTTTCTATACGCGTATACAAACTTTCTATACGTACGAATACAAATAATGTATACATATGAATACAAACTTTGTATTTATACATCTTTAAGAAAACAAAAAAAAGAACCAAACAGAAGATAAACCCAAAAAAAACAAACCGGACAGAAACGAAAAAACCGGAGAAAAAAAATCGGAGAAAGAAAAAACAACTGAATAGAAACGAAAAAAAAGGGAAAAAACTAAAAAAAAACAAAAAACTCTCGCGGGCTTGCGGCGTGTCCGCGGCCCCCTCTCCGCGCGCGACACGTGTCCAGTCGCGCGGGGAGGAGGGTGCACGACTGATCGCCAACTAGCAATTTCGGGCCACGGCTGACATATGTATGGCACCATGTATTTTTACTTAAAAAATAGTCTATATGTATTTACATTGTAAGTTTCTAAAATTACATATGTAATTTTAGTGTATTTACAATGTAAATCATAAAATTATATATGTAAGTCTCTAAATTGCATATGTAATTGCAGTGTATCTATGCAAGTCACATGTAACTAACATGGAACTCTAGGCCGTGTTTATATTCAAAATATTTTCTTCAAACTTCTAACTTTTCCGTCACATCAAATGTTTGGACACATGTATGAAGCATTAAATATGGACGAAAAAAACCAATTGCACAGTTTGTATGTAAATCACGAGATGAATCTTTTGAGTCTAATTACACAATGATTTAACAAGTGGTGCTACAGTAAACATGCTAATGACGGATTAATTAGGTTTAATAGTTTCGTCTCGCAGTTTACAGGCGGAATCTATAATTTGTTTTGTTATTAATCTACGTTTAATACTTCGAATATGTTTCTGTATACTTTAAAAAAAGATTTGGTACACAAACTAAATACAGCCAGTTTAAATCGTGATGTAAATACGTTACAGCCATGACTTTATGATTTGTCAGTACTCTTAGTATTGACCAAAGAAAAAAAATACACGGAGAAAGACAGAGTAGCCACAGGATTTGATCAGAAATCGAACAGGCAACACTGGAAACGTTCTCATGGGCGTGTGACAGCACCAAATCTCAGCGTTGACTGATCTGACTGTAATTAGCCAAAAATTATAGCGACATAAATCTAGCAATTCCGTAAGGAATTTATTAATAAAAAAAGAGTTAGAAACAAATGGCATGAGTTATGGTTACAACTCCCTTGGGAGTATTTAGAAGGCCTCTTTTAACAGGACAAACATTTCTTTGACATATGGGAGATGTTGGAACAATCAAAGTCCATCTGACTAGTGATTTGAGCTTGTCTTGCTGATTTCGCTAGACCATCCGCCACCTTATTGAGATCTCTAGGAATCCATTTGATTAGAAATTGTCTTCCCTGCAAAATATTCTTTATCTTTGACAATATAGGTCTTAAAGACCAGTGTCCTGGATCTTTCATGTAGCCCTCCTTGTTCAACACCTACACCACCAAAGAGTTATCTGAAAGAAAGATTGGTTGCTGAAGTTGAAGTTGACAAGAAGCATGCACAGCTAAACAAAGACCTTCAATTTCAGCTAGCAAAGGAGTGCTAGCTCTCAGATGTTGGGCTTTTATCACTATAGCATTATGTGTCCCTAGGTTGTGAATGAAGATTCCAATTCCTGACCCTCCTTCCACAAAGCATCCACATAGATTGTTGTACCTACAGGAATTTTAGAAATGTTGTTTTTGTAATTATGCATCTGTATTTCTTGATCAGTATCCTGGCATTGCTCTTACAAACTTGTTGAGGCTCCCATTTCTTGTTTTTGAAATTTATATCGTTCCTTGCCTTACAAATCTGCCAAAGCATGATTAAAAGATTGTGCACCCCAACACCATTAGCTAAAAGATAAGCAATCAAATCCTGAACAGTTTGCAAATGGGTAAGATTATCAAATTTAAAATTAAAATCAGAGATAAACCAACATAAACGACTAAAATTACAGCGAAAAAAAAGATGCATGTCATCCTCCCTCTGACCACAAGTTAAGCAATTTGGACTGATAGTTTTGATTCTATGGTGAATTCTCTCAGCAGTGGGAAGAGCATTCCTGAGCAGGCGCCAGCCAAAAGTTTTCACCCTGGGAGAAATGAAACTATTCTTCCATATTAGTTTTAATAGATTCTTAACTAAAGAGCTTACCTGATTCTGATTTGGATACATTTCAATGCCGCCTCGATTCCTTCGTACCTCGTTTCCATCGTATCCTTTGCGATTTCCAAAACAAATCCAGCTCGTCTCCTCTCTGTTGTACAACGTCGCGCACTCTTGTCCCCTCCAGGCTCTAGCCCTCCTATTCTTCGATTCCCACATACATGCCTTTGTCGAATCTCCCTCTCTGCTAGCAAGGGCACTCATAGTGCGTCTTGGAAATTTCTGCGCCTGGGCTACCCACTGGGCAAAGGAATACCAAAAGACACTTGATCCACAATGCATGTGACTTAAATTCACACTTGCAAAGTCTGAAGACATAGATGGAGGCTACTTGGCCAAAGTGGGCATGGCACAGCCCACGTTGCACAAATGGCCAAATAGATGCAGGTCTGCGTGAAATATCAATTGTACCCCCCGCCCCTCACCCGGATGCGAGCCCGCGACTCATCTGCTCCGCACTCCTCCATCGGGTGCCACCTCGCCTCTATCCCTCCTCTCGTGTCTCTTCTGCTTCCCATCCTCCGCTCGCTCTCCTCCGTGTGATGGCGAGGATGAAGTTCCGCAGTGGCTTTTAGTACCCTTGCCCTAGCCCATGGCCATGGGCAACCATATCGGCAGCGACGCAGGCGAGGCGGGCGCAAGTTCGAGGCGTCGATCTGGTGGAGGAGAGCTCGGACTCCTCCATTGAGATGTGGACCGAACGAAGGGGACGCATGGTCTTGGTGGAGGAGCGTACTCCTTCTCCACCTAGGGTGCCACTGCTAGATTCACCAACGCCACCGCCAGGAGCTCCAATCCCACCGCCGGCTGCTCCAGCCGAACCACCCACAGTGAAGATCTAAGGTAACGAATTCGTGTAGCACCGAACCTAGGGTTTGCTCGTAGATCGAATCCTTCTTGATCTAAAAATTTCGGTATTTATTCATGAGATGTCTTGCAATATTGTGATTCTTTGATGTGCCTGTGGATTGGTATGACAAGTTCTATCCTAAAATCAGTGAAAAATGTACTGAGCAGGTTTGGGGATTTGGGGAAAAAATTTGGCGTACTAGCAATGTAGGAGTTATGCCATTAAGTTTGATGCATGTAATTTGAACACTCATATGCACATATGTGTGCTCAAATTGGTTGTATGTTGATCACTGCAAGCCGGCATGCTATCCTGATATTTTATTTGGTATAGTGCCGAGTTGACTATGTTAACATAATAACATTACATATAAAGAGGATATCTAATTAGCAAATTTGGCTTGTGGGTTTGTTTTGTTTCACTTTTTCATTGGGTTAGCCTAATCTTGAATTGGGGGAACGGAACTTATTTTGACTCAATTAATTTCTCTATCCAAGTCAGCAGTGTTCTGTGAGTTAAACCCTCATCATGTCTTTAGCTATAACAAGATTGATAGTCTGAACTTTAGTCATTGAGACATCAATTTTATAACTCTTAAAATTTCTGCTTGATGTAGAATGGTACAAACAACTTGTAGACCTTGATGTTTTCATTAGTGGGCTATGATGTATACTTGGAACATATCGACATAGCTTTGGAGCCTCAGGTCCTCAAATTATTCTACAGTATGGAAAAAAATAAATTGCATGTTGAACTTTCTATGCTTTAGTATTTAGGAATTTTCATTACCATCTAATGTTCTGATCAATATTGTAATTTTGGTGATTTCAAGCAACCTGATATATAGATATGGTTAGGTTATAGCAACTTTTGGTTCTTGTAATTCTGATAGTGTACTATGTACAATTTGAACTCACATTTGATTGTTGGAATTTTTTTTGGCAGGATATTTAGGATGATGAGGAGCAATCTGCCTCATCGTGCAAAGAACCTGCTGCAAAGGACCTATAATATGTACAGTTAGGCTATAGCTAGTCTTGGAGATGTGTAATGTAATGACTACTGAAATGGGTTGGATGGCAGCTGTTATGTAGTTAGGGAAGTTGATATGGCTGGTGGATGTTAACATAGCATCTTTTGGTTCTTTTGGTCAAGTATGTGATGACATGCAAGTAGGTTTCTTGCCTCAAATGGTCTGTTTTTGTTGTCCATATGACCAAGGTGATGATACTACCTCTAATTATGTAAGCGGAACCTTGTGCTTGTTTAGTGAAAGGATGCAGCTGTCAAGTCTAGAAGCTCATTTTTTGTTGTGATGCAAACATGTATGTGATGAATTGTCATACATAATTAGTTGCCAACTGTGGGCTATTATTAGCTGCCGTTATCAGTGAATCAAACCAAGTCATATTGGTAAAATTATTCTAGCAGATCTGTTGGGACTAGAACTCTTGATGTTTATGCAAAGTGTGATATGATCAAGGATGTTTGCTGGGTTTAGGAGAAGATGCATGATAAAACTTTTGTTATATGCAGCTCATTATTTGCAGGATATGTGCAGAAATGGTCACTATGAGGAGTCACTGTCGACAGCTTCAGATATAGGCAACTAATATGTGGGAAAACAAGTTTGGGGAATTAAAATATTATTTTATTTACAAGGCAATTCCTATATTTTTATTTATTTATAAGGCATCGACTATTTACAAGGATAACATGTCTCATCCTAGATACAAATACTTCAAATTGCATGCATAAGATAACTGGGGACATCCCCGATAGAAGGAGTTCTAATTAATTTACCTCTACATCTACTCTAATATACATGGATAATAATCCTTATTAGGATTATTTTACCTCCACATCTACTCTAAGATACATGGATAATAAATCTTATTTGAACTTCTAATTATTTTAAGTCAACTTCTATTCTAAGATACATGGATAGTGATCCTTATTCATTACTACTATACTACTTTTCATTTGCTAATTAGGTCTAAGTTGTAGTGACTATTTAGATAACATCCTTCGTTGGTAGTGAAGGAATTTTGGATTCTACTATGGACAAAACCTTGTCCATATATGCTCCACCAAATCTCTTTTAAGTTGGTTGTGCATGTCTCAGTTGTGGACAGCTATGTCGCGCTGAACTAGATTAGCCATTGGTATCGGTGTACTGTACATATGTTCCGGTGGCTCAATCTCATAGTCACCCTCAAACTCATGTGCATCCAGCGGGTCCAAATGACCTTCATCTTCTACAATCATATTGTACATTATAATACATGCTGTCATTATATTGGATATGTCTGATTGCTCCCATAAGTGAGTAGTAGTCGCGACCACCTTGAAACGAGCTCCGAGTAAACCAAATGCACATTCGGCATCCTTCCTTGCTGATTCTTGTTGTTGAGCAAATAGTTTGTGCTTCTCCAATTGAGGATGTCGGATCGACTTAACAATAGTCGCCCACTCTGGATAGATTCCATCGGCTAGATAGTAACCCAAGTCATATTGAATTCCATTTACTGTGTATCGCAGCCTTGTTGATGTCCCCATTAGTATGTCAGTGAATATTGGGGATTGGTTCAGAACATTGATATCATTATTGGAACCTGCCATACCAAAAAAAAAAAACAATGCCAGATCCACCGGTCACGGGACGCCACTGCCTCAAGGATGATTGTTGTTGCACCGTAATCTCCCCGTGTGTACATTCCTTTCCAACCGTTCGGGCAATTCTTTCACCTCCAGTGCATACAATCAATGCTTCCCAACATTGCTGGGAATCCACGTTCTTCATGCCTCTGTACGAGGCGTTGAACATCATCATCCGTAGGCTTCCTCAAATAGTGAGGTCTAAATATTGCAATGACACCTTCGCAAAACCTCGCGAGCAATTCGTAAGCAGTTGTGCCACCAATTCACACATAATCATTGGTTTGGTCGGCACAACAACCGTATGCTAACATCCACATCACATCAGTGCACTTCTGAATAGGTGAAAGTCCAGGCTGACCTAGGGCATCAACCCGTTGGGTGAAGTATTCATCCCATTGACCAAGAGCATTGATAATTCGAAGAAACAATGGCTTGTTCATGCGATAATGTCTTCGGAATTGTTGTTAGCTAAAAATTGGATTATCTGAGAAGTAGTCATTCTAGATCATGGCATGATGGGCTTCACGATCTCTCCTTATATATGTCCTACTGGCACGATGGGCATTCGAGGATGATGGTTGAAATAAATTATGCATATTGAAAGCAACTTGAGATACAACATTATTGAATTTTGTCTGCCGAGCCAAATAATCATCCATAGTGAAGATCTCTACCGGATCAACATATTCCACCTCGTTGTCATCATCAGATTAAGAAGACATAATTACTTACAGCACAAGTGTATCATCTGCATGATCGTGGACATATAGAGCATAAGAAATTTTATTTAAAAAAAATCACAAAATCAAATAAAAAGTGAAGCTCATATTGTGATCAATTAATTATATGCAGTAGCATTATATGTGATTAAAGCCCATTCCACTCTGTGACCAAAACTGAGACTAGCTAGCTGCAGCAGTACTGCTGTTTGGTTGCAATACTGCAAGATTTCTAAAGTTTAAGTGACCTAGCTGTGTTCGGTTACTGGGGTTGGGAACTAATCCCTCCCGCACGGAAAACGGAGCGGTCCATTAGCTATTTTTTTTTTTCAAAAATGGATTAATTTTAATTTTTAAGCAACTTTTGTAGAGAAACTTTTTGCAAAAAACACACCATTTAGCAGTTTGAAAAGCGTGCGCGCAGAAAACGAGGGATAGGGATTGGGAAAAGGGGCATCCGAACACACCCCTAGTACTCATGCATGCCCTACTAAAATTAAGGTTGTCACCCAGAACTAGTTACTTGAAGTATTTGCTTAATTAGTATTTGATATGACCAAATCACAGGTGCAGCCAATGCATGGAGGTCCATATGGAGTACTAGTATATTTCTTCTCAATCCATTGAAAAAGGTGGTTGCTTTGCAAGCATACAAAAGCAATTCAACTGATTCTTGGCATGACTACTACTTAAAAATTCAACTTCATGGCAACAGCAATCCAAGTTCATGGCAATTTTGAAAAAAAATAATCACAAATCAAATAAAAAGTGAATATTGTGAGCACTTAGTTAATTACTTGCAGGGCAAAGAGCAACCTAGGGCATCACATACATTGCAGCCAAAATTTTGCAATCACAAAACAATGATTAGCCCAATATCAGCATGCAGCCAGATCACAATGAATAGCCCAATCTCACATCCAACAACACCACAATGAATAAGCCAATTTCACATGACTCATAGTAGAAAGAACAACTGAATCTCACAAATTATTAGTCCATTTTGCAACCACAACCAACATCAATCAGTTCAGGTGCATTTTGTACCGTCACAGTTGGCAGCCAAAAAATAAAGTTCAGTACAAACCCCTCAAGGCTTAACATGTCACATGTGTCCATTATCTAAAGCATCAATCACATGGCACATTTTACATGACATAAGACATATGCTAAATAATAGTACATGGTCTCACACTACCACATTAATACAAGGTCTGAATCTGCATATATTGGTCCCACATAAGACAAGCTTGCAATCTAATAATCTAAAGCTGGCTCTTTTGTTAGCTTTTGATTGGTCCATGTGGCACCTCTAAGAAAAATCATAAATTTATAGTAGAGAAAAAACACCTAACAATCATACGTGAGGTAAAATCTAGAGAAAAATATCACATATAGATTCTAGAGGCTTCCAAAACTATCTCCCCTTTTCCAATCATAGGAACTTCTACTCCTTTGCCTTCTATAAATATACTACGCCTACTCGGTACTACTGCTATAACTCTAGAATATATATAGTAAACCCAACATTATTAAGCAAAAAACAAATCTAAAACAACGAATTTGCATTTATTTTCCTTCTTTAAATACACTACGCCTACTCTATAATATATAGTAACTCAAAATTATTACGCAAAAAAAAAATCCAAAACAAACAAATAAAGAAAGCAACCTTTCTTATATCATATAAAAAATTGAATATGTTTTTTTTGTTACACAAGATATGTTAAAAAAACTCTGAATATACTAAATAATTGGTCTTTCAAATATTTAAATCCACAAACAAATATATTTGAACCAATTAATTTTGATTAATATCAAAAGTTACTTTACTTATTTGGATTTCATCAAAATTTATGTATAAGATGACACATTACATTTTGTACTTCTGCTTAATATGACTTACAAGTTTTATATTTTTTATGACAAATATTTTTTCACTTCTACATAATAAATAAATCATTTATACATATGTCCATAAATATTTTTTCTTAATATCATACATTAATTTGTCAAAACTAAAATAATGGTTCACAATTTTCTTTCTAAAATATTTTATGAAAACTCTAAAATTTCAAATAAGAAAAAGAAATATATACATATTTTAAATTAGTGAGCACACTAATTTTACCATATAATATTATCGGGTAATAATAAGTATATATATAGGCTAACAAGCAAGTGTGCCAACGACACGCCGATGTATATCACATTGGGCAATATCTAAATTGCAACTGACTATTAACAACACATCAACATCATCTATTCTAGCTATGCCTTCCCTGTAGGGTAATGACCAAAAGTTTCCCCATCAACCACAAACAACATGTTTTCCATCTAAACTAGTCACTAGCCAATATGCACATGTATGAAAAAAAAGTAACTATCCTGATCCTGCAACTGCAGCCCCTTTCCCAACAAAAAAATCCGCCCATATTATATATATTAGCTATTGTTGCACCAACAAATAGATAGGTATCATCCTTCAAAATGCCTACCAAAAAACGAATAAGTGATTATGTGCCGGCACCTGGAAAGACAAAAAAAAATATATTCATCAAAATGTGATCAGCAAGCATGTTAACATAAGAAGGAGAAACTGGTTCATAAACAGAATTTCCATTCTGCTTAGGAATCTTGTGCACTGTTCCCTTCCAGAATTTCCATTATGCTTATAAATCTTATGCACTGTCCATTTCTCCATCTGAGATGTGTCCACTTGCAAGAGTTAGGTAAACATCTCCATGGACCTAGCTCTTCTGGTCAATCAGCTTGCACTCGTGCTTCTCTTGTGCAGCTAAGAGGGTGAGGTTAGCCGCTTTAACACGTTGATAAGCTTTTGCTGATATTCCTTCATAACCTCTACCTCTTTTTTTGAAGCATTAGACTCAACTAGGTTCTACCTCCTCTTTGACTCAATTAGGTCTTGACATATATCCACAATTGCTCTCCACACTTCTGGGATGCTCCCTTTGCTTTCTTCGCCCTCTTAACCCCCATAGATCTCGGTTGGGCTGCTGGTGGAGAATTAATGTTCTGATTTGGACTGAACTTCCTAGCATCATTACCACATGTACATTCCACTTGGAGAATCACATACAACCTTCCACCAGTGCATAAATTTTAAATGTTTCCTATTCGTCCGGCTGGTGTAGAGTGCTAAGGCTTCCTGCATGAACTGCTCATCGTTTCTACCACGCACGGGTGCATCTCGGAGCTGAACATAGCATCTATTGAACAAGGCAACCTTCCATGATGTCTTGTGCCAGTGTGACTTGAGACAACTGGGATCCCTTTGTATGTTAGGAGGCGTTGTCTGATTATACACCTTGGCTACCTTTGTTCAATATGTCTCATTGTTCCTATTAACTCCCTCGATAGGATCAGTGGAGTTCTCTAGCCATGCCGATAACTGTTAAATGAGTTCATACAAAATCAGTCCAATACAATCAAAATTGAATCCTATAGCAATCAACAATCAGAAGTTTTAAAAATAAAATCTAATACTATAGCAATCAGCAAATTAGATACTGAACATCACCTTAAAAAAGTTAATACTTCCCACAAAACATATAGGAATTAGAAATTTTAAAAATAAAATCTAATTCTCTAAACAGTTAGTGTCGCATAGATATTTTTTTGAAGAATCATTACTTCTGCAGTCATGCTGTTGGTATTTCTTACGACCACAGATAAATCCGCAAGCGCACGGAATACCATTGTAGCACTTCACCTTCGAGTGACCCCAAAAGAATATTGAACTCAGGGAACGTGTGTAATCTACCTAAGGCTAAGACTATCCAAGGACAACAACTATATATTGGTCTTCCAGCATGGAGGATTACTAGGACAGGATTCAGAACTGTCACCACCTACAGTCTACCTCTGACAAATCCATGGGATACACAACAAAAAAAGTAATCTCTAATCTAGACACCACGTCTAAGTTATTAATTATGACTCTAATACTTGCGTAGGAACTTCCTTCTTTATCCGGAGTCCTAGTACTAGAGCACTTAGTATGAATACTAAACAATGAACCCACAAAGATGGAAATCTATCTTACTTAGACTAAGTAATAACAAAAGAAAGGATCCCGAATGCTTACTTTATAGAAGAAGTTCTCTGAAACCCGGAACAGAGTGTACCGACAGCTCCTGTACTCCTCCGGAATTCCTCCTAGAAAGCTACACTCGTTGAGGTGGAAGTCGGATGAGCACCAAACTTCCGGGCACTCCTCCAGAGCTTCCCCTCACCCTCTATCTATTTCTAATGTATAAAAGATACAATAGAGCCTCTTGTAAATCAGCTCTGTCGGTGATATGGGCCCGAGGGTCCGCACAATAGAGGGAAATAATCTTTCTGCCTAGCCACGTGGCTGCGCGACCTGCCTTCCCCCCTCGGGGGAAAATCGGGCGGTTATGAAGTGGCTAGGGGGCCTCGGGGTGCCTCGTCACACCCCTCGGGCCCTTGGAGCACACCACCCCGAGGCCCTCACCCGGCTGCCACGTGGCGGCCAAGTGAGCAGAGCAGGAGGTGCTGCCCAACCTCTTAAATGAGCGGCGCCCCAATCATTCCTCACCACATTTAATGCGGCGTGGGCAGGCGTGCGGCGCCGCCCGATTGACGCACATCAATCGGCCTTGACCGGCCTGTGACCGGTCGCAGGCAGATGGGACGGGTGGCAGTGCACCCACATCCTGTCCTATGTCAGGCGGAGTGGGGGCAGGTATGCCCCGTCCCGTCGGCATGCAACCGAGTGTGCCCCCTGTACATGATGAATCCACCAAAGTCTCCATGGAATTAAGAAGGAATGACAGGGATGCCCTCTGTGTCAGGTGGAGGACGACGCTGGGCCCCACCTAAGGGCGAACAACCGCCTTGCTTCCGGTTGAAGGCATGGACGGTGGCTTGACCCAGGCTAGGTGGGCCCCCTTCCCATGGAGGAGTAGGTATGGACAGTGCATGTGGTATCCCCTTGAACTATAAAAGGAGGACCTTACCCATTGAGCAAAAGGACGACTCTTGATAGCTTGAGCTCGAGGGTTTCCTAGGAGCCCAAGATCTCTTGTAAGAACTCAACCATAATTCCACACACAGGAGTAGGGTGTTACGCATCCAGGTGGCCCGAACCTGTATAATCCCTCGCTTCTCACACTTGTGGTCGAACGATCTAGTTAGCCAGATCCTAGGCGGAGATACGCTCTTGATCATCGCGCCTTATCCCCCGGCCAAACTCACAAAGGGGGGTCTCATGACCTCCCGCTAGAGAGGATCACTCCTCGACAAGCTCAAAGTTGTGTGTATTGGAATGAGAGTGAGCTCCTCCTTATATAGGCTTCAAATGACGGTTACTGCTATGGGAAATGACCATTCTGCCCCACAACCGCCATCATGAAGTAATCAAGAGCGTACATGTGTAAAATGGTGATCAACGGCGCCACAACGGGTTCGGCCGAACCCAAAAACACTCCCGGCTTCTCCTTTGGCCGGTAGGTTGCTCAATGGGCCCCCAATAACCTGCACTATGTTTTGGCCCAATTCTAAGTTGTTTTAATTGACTTATGGGGCCTCCAATCTGTGTAAATGTGTCCTGAATACGTGAAGGTGCATTTTGTCGCATGACAGATGTGTTTTTTCCTCAAATTACCTGCATACGTATATTTCACCAACACTAGTGGAAATGATTAGTAATTATCCCTACCACTAAGTTAGATGCCATATTTTATGTCATTATATGCAAGTATTGACGGTCAAATATTATGAAATATTATGATTTAGGGACCGTCAACACATGCAACACCTACAAATATGAGGCAGCAGTGAGGCACCTTCAGTGTATTTTTCTAAGAACTATCACTTCATTTATATTACACCACTACTTTTATATGAGGCACCAATAGGTAATATCACAATTAGCAGCCAAATGCAATCAGCAATATTGCATATTGAACATTACTTGAAATGACACCTCTTTCCCAAAAAAACCTATAGGAATCAAATCAATATTCATCACAATATGCAGATGTACATCACTCATTAGTACTATATTTGAACATATCAAAATGCACTCAACTCCTAAAACACAAAATTCACTCAATACACTGAATAATCATCGCTTATACACCATTTATGTAAGAATCAGCACCTATACATCGGATATGCACACAAAATTCATTCAATCCCAAGAGTAATCATCACTTATAATGCTATACAAATCATCAAGGACAAAAATTGAACATCACTAAAAAAAATGATCTTTCCCAAGAAAACATATAGGAATCAGATCTATATTCATCACATTATGCAGATATACATCACTCATAAGTACTATATTTGAGCATACCAATATGCACTCAACTCCTAAAACAGAAAAAATCACTCAATACATTGAATAATCATTGCTTATACACCATTTATGTAAGAATCAGCACCTATACATCGCATATGCACACAAATTCATTCAATTCCAAGAGTAATCATCATTTATAATGCTGTACAAATCATCAAGGACAACAATTGAACATCACTTCAAAAAAAATTAATATTTCCCAAATAACATATACGGATCAGAAGTTTGTACATTAAAATCTATTTCTCTAAACAATTATTGTTGCCTAGATATTTTTTTTAGTAAGCACCATCGCTTATGCAGTCGTAAGAATCATTTATTATAGGGATAATTTCATTCTTACCCTTACTTTGATGTTCAATATTGTTTTTGATACTGTTTTTTAGGGTTTTCGATTTTGCCCCTACTTTTTTAAAACGAATTATCCATTTACCCTTGGTTTAGATGGAAGTTAGTGGACTAGGAATTATTGAGGGAAAGAAATAGAAAAAATAGGGAATAATAATTTTCAAAATATTGATTTACATGTCTACCCCTGGTAATAGAAGTAAAGGAGACTAATGTGCGCTAGCTGGCTCCAAAACTCTCTTTCCCCGTCCAACCACGGAGAACAGCAGTGGCCGAGGGGAACAGGCGACGGCGGTGGCGACCCTGCCCAAGGAGAACATCAGAGGCCAGGGAGATGGCATGACGGCAGCGTTGCGCCGCATTGAGGCAGGTGTTAGGCGGCGGCGGGGGCGGCTTTGGCATGCCGCCGCATCGAAGCAAGCCACACGACATCGGTGGCGGCGGCTCCGGTGAGACGATGCGGGTCATGCGGCGACATGTCTCCGGCCAGCCACCGTGGCGGGGGCGGCTTCAACGTACCACCACATCGAAGCAAGCTCATGAGAAGATGGCGCCTTTCTTGCTTGGTGGTACGACATCATGTTGTCGTCTCTCTCACGGCCTCACTGCGTTGCCGGCCAGCGCCCATGGCCTCAGTGCTTGCTTGCTTGCTAAACAAAAGAAGACATTAAGCTGCTGCTTGCTTTTTGCTTGTACTACTTCTTGTTGTGCTTGAAGCCTGGTTGTTTCTTGTTGTTGTGTGATGTTGTCCTTGAATCTGTAAAAATTTGTTTGATGATTTGAATCTGCCAAAATTTCGAATGTGTATAGCAAAGGGTATGGATGTCTTTTCGTCGAAGATTTAACACTGTCAATGTAACCATCCAAAGTAAGGGTAAAATTTAGTTTGTTTCAAAAAAACAAGGGCAAAACCGAAAACTCTAAAAAACAGGGACAAAAGCAATATTAGACATCAAAGCAGGGGCAAGAACAAAATTGCCCCTTTATTATATTACAGCACGATTTCATACGATGCAGCAGTGCATCACCTACACAAACCTCCTAAATCGACTTCTGTAGAATCAATAAGCACCTAAATGTACTGTCTGTAAGACAACTCCAGAATCACTAATAGTAGCAGAAAATCACCATATCTCCATTGTGTGCCAATAAATGAAAAAAAACAAACACATGCCAGCCTTATATCCTCTTTTGTTGAGTAGTACATTTTCCTCTTGGCATCAACAACAGCTTCTGGGGAAGCAGTCATATGTTGCCGACGTGCAGATCTGGAGCTCGAAGGCTTTGCCTTAGCTGGGGTTGGGGCCGATGGAGGTGGCGCTGACGGGGCCAGTGGCTACATACAGAAGGGGGGAACGATGCAGGTGGGAACGAGATCACCGAGTGTTGGGGGGGGGGGGGGAGAAGGAGGCTGGCTGGAAGATTAAGATAAACTAGCCACAAAGTTCGGATCTTGAAAAAACCGAGCGAATGCAGCAGCCATGCTTGGATCCATCGTGACCTAGGGTTCAAATCACGTTGATATGGGGAAAACAAAATCAAATGTTGAAGAATCAATTCGACCAACTGATTTAGGGTTCCAACGTACCTCCTTCCGCCACGAGGACTCCGGCGACTGGCGACGATCCTGGATACTGCAAGAGGGGAAGAAACAGCGTGGAAGGGGTGAAAGAAATCAGGCACGCGTGGGATGGTGGGGGCGATGGCTAGCA